CTAGAAAGAGTTTGTCATAGTTTGTATTTGAGTCTTCGCGTATTGTTTGCATGACTCTTTTCTGAGTTTCCGGTTCAAGCTCTTCAAACAGAGCTTGTCCATATGGAATAAGCTCGTTTCCAAATATATGTTTTTGTAGCCATTCTGGTTTTCTTTCCATGTTACCAATAATATCTTTTGTGAATGGGAAAGCTTTTACCCAATCTTTCAGTCTTGCGTCATTTATTTCTGTAGTTGGTTTTATTTTGTCAAGGAACATGTTTTTCAATACTAACATTTCATTTGGTACTGTCCATTTGAGTTTTCTTAAATATTCATCCATTTCTCGGTTCATTGTCTGCAAAGTAAGTTTTTATGACATTTTGCAAACTTTCGTTTGCAAGGTCATGTACAATAGGTTCTCTTCCTTCTCTCTCCCTAACTTTCTTTCTAAACTCTTCACCAAATATACCATCTCTATGGTTCTGTGTAGTTCTTTGAGATAAATGTTCTAGAACGTCAGGTGTTATATTTCCATCAGCCATGTTCATTTCATACTGGTCCAAAATATCTGCATGTTTCATATCTTTCAATGGCATTAAAGCCGCGCTGAAAATACCAGCTATATCTGGTTCACCATTCACTTCCATTGCGTCTACAACTTCTTGGAATTGTGGTTGTAAGTTTATGAACCACCTATCCGGATTAGCTTTATGACCCCATCTCATTGTAGTTCCATAGTCTGCAGAAACAAAAGTAGGTTTGTTTCCATCTTGGTTAGGTTCTGAATGAACTTTAAACAATGTTTCATTTCTATATGTTTTGTTGAAATTTAACCTTTTATTTTCACCGAGTTCAGCCGAAGATTGAACGTTATATGCTCGTAAGTAAAAAGGGTTGTTGTATTTGCTTACATTTTCTTTCAGTACTTCCATTCTATGCTGAATATTTTCATCTGGTGTTGGAGTCTTTTGTATGTCGGCAAACATTTTTCGATATTCTTCTACTATGTCAGCCGAATTTTTCTTATACTCTTGGAAAAATTCCATATTCTCCGCATACTCTTGTTGAGGGTCAAGATTTTTCGGCTGTTCCAAATCTTCATCTAGTTCTGTGAAGTTAGTTTCCAAAGGAGGGACTTGTTCGTTTCCTTCAGGCTCTTCTAGCTGTTGTTGCTGAACTATTTCATCCATGTCTGGTTGTATCTGAACTATTTCTTCCTGTGGAGTTTCTTGTACCTCATCTGCTGGCTTTTCATATATTCCGAGACCGTTTTCAACAATTTCCCTATCTAAGTCATCCGGACTCATAAACCTTTCTTCTTTCGTTCCGTCTCTATTTTTTACGCGTTTCATGAAGAGAGTTGAATTATCATTTAGCTCTGACACCAAATATCTCGGAGTAAATTCATTCATGTCATTTGGATGATATGCTATTAAATCATATCCCTTAGCGAGCTTGTATTTTCCAGGTTTGAAATTATATCCCATTTGGTGCTGAACCATAAAGCTAAATAGGTTCGGGTCAGTATTTCCTTCCTTGAACTTTCCAATAGCTTCTTTATATCTGTCACTAAAGTCAATACTATCTGGGTAACCATACTCTTCCTTAAGCATTTTTAAGAATTCTTGGTTTCCTTGTTCTCTACTTCTTTTATGTCCTTGCTCTGTTTGTGGTTGTTGTTGTTGTGCAGGGTTTTGAACTGTTGGTTGCTGTGCTGGTTGTGGAGGTGGTGCAGGTGCAGGGTTTTGAACTGTTGGTTGTTGTGTTGGTTGTTGTTGTTGTTGTGCTGGATTTTGAACTGTTGGTTGTTGTGTTGGTTTTGGTGCATGCCTGTGTCTGTGTCCATGTGACGATGTAAATGTTTTAGGTAGTCCTGGTGCAGGTGCTTCTCTTGGAGGGTTTGGTGGTATATAAATTCCAACAGCTGGTATATAAGTTCCACCAGCTGGCACATATGTTCCACCAGCTGGCACATATGTTCCATCTGCAGCGTAATGTCCTACCTGACTTTTCGTTTTTAAGAAAGCATTTACTAGGTCTGTTTTGGTCTGTTGTAACTCTTTTTCTTGACTTTTCACAACAGTTGCTCTAACGGCGTCATAGGCACTTTGAACTGCCTGTCTCGTTGCTGCATCTGTTATTTTCGTCATATTTTGTGCTACTTCTTTTAACTCTTTGTCGAAACCTTCAGACTTCAGTTTCTTTCCAGATGAGAAGTCGTTCACTAGTTTCACCTTACTATGAAGAGCTTCGAAGGCGTTCTTAAAGTCAGCATTCGTTAAAGCTTCATTTGAACTGTCTTCATCCGCTTGTATTTTTGTCCTTATTGACCCTATAAGCTGGGCTGCTTTAGCGTTGGCTTGGGCATCTAACCAGTCATTGTTAGCTTTTATATATTCTGCGCTTTTCATTGCCTTTTGCATGGCTGCGTCGTTATTTTTACTTTCTTGTGCTAAGTTTTCATACTGTACGGTTTGATTTTGCAACTGTAAAAGTTTTTCTGCCTTTACATTTGCTTCAACTTCTTTTTTATACTCATCGCTATCCATATATGTCTTCAGGGCTTTTTGTTTTATCTCTTCATCTTTCAGTACTTTATATTGAGTAGTATGGTTTTTCAAATTTAAAACATCTTGTTCCATTTTTGCTACTTCTGCTGCTTTTTCTGACACTTTTTTCGCATATTGCTCTGTACTTAGTTCTTTCAGTTGTTCTTCTTTCTTCTTTTTCTCTACGTTTAACTCATTTAGTTTCTTTGTGTGTCTGTCATATTCTAGTTTCTTTTCGTTTTCACTTATTTGCTTCTGTATGTCTATGTTTGACTTTTTGACATCTGTTATTTGATTTTTGAGTGAACTCAAATTCATTTGACTTTGAGGGTTATAGGCTGTTCCGTCTGCAGCTCCACCATAGCCTGCCATTTTCGCTAAAAGTGCCGCTCTTAAACCTCCACTCTGTGCACCAAGAACTCGGTTTAAAAGCATAGGGTTGCTTGACATTTGTTGCAACATAGTGGGGTCATTCATCATTTGTTGTTGCAACTGTTGTTGTGGTGTCAGTTTTACTATTGGATGTTTCAATGCTCTCTTCCTCTTACGTATATTCTTACGTAGCTTACGTGGCATTTTAAGTGAAGTTAAAAAGCGGTTTTTGACAGATGTTTATATGACACTTTCTCCGGTTTATAGGACCTCTCTCATATTCTATCTTGTCATATCTAAAATCATAGTCATGTATGTCCTCTAACCATCTCATAACGGTTTCCAAACCACTTTTATCGGATGTAAAGTAAAAGCATGGATGGTTATGTAAAACGTCTAAAGTTTCTAAAGAGTCTCTCAAAGTATATTTCTTGGAACGCCCGTAACTTTTCTGTAGCGACGATAGACCCTTACTTGTCCGGACATAGTTATACTATTTTTTTTACCGAAAAGTCAACGACAACGACTTTCAAAAATTTTTAGGGCTAGAAGGCACGAAGTGCCTGGGAAGCCCCCTTCACCCAAAAAAAAACCTCATTTTATACTTCATTGTATACTAAACATCTTCAGGGGCTAGAGGGCACGAAGTGCCTGGAGGCCCCACTCCCCTTTTTTTTTTTTTTTTTTTAATATTATATAAAAAGTCTCTTTAATATCTATATTTCATATTTTTATCGATTTTTAAAGTTTTTGCGAAAAGTATTCAATTATTTTTGCTATTTGGTCGGGTAAATGTCAGATTTGCGACATTTTCTGATATGATATTCAGATTCTACGTTGATAATAATGCTTATAGAACCCTCTTGCTATTGTGTCAAAATTGCGAAAACCGATAGCAAAAATATCTCGCAATATCAAAATTGAGATATTGAGTGAATTATGCATTATAGAGATTAAAAATCTGATTTGTGAAAACATCTCATCAGTTTCTAGCTAATTCAAAAATCTTTACTATCTTATTCGATTAAAATGAAAAGGGAATAGTTTCATTATGCTTTAAATGACAGCCTTATAATATAATCATAGTTTTCGCTCAATATGCAGCATTTTTTTTTCGAAATCTATGGTCAATGTCCTAAATACTGATTGCTTTGCATTCATATCTCTTACATTTTCTATACCCACATCACTATTCATTGCTATTCCTATCTTTTTCATTTTTGTTTGTTTCTCATAATTTCTCAAAAAACACGATAACTTGATATTTGTAAATATCATACTTTATAACGTAAATAAGAACTTGACCTATTAAAAAAAGCAGTAATGAAAAGAAAATCTGAAATTCATAAAAATTACAAGTTTTCTGATGACAATTAGCTTAATTAAACCAGGTACAAGATTATATAATTGTATTTTCTATCCAATTATCCATATAATATCTTATCCAGAAAAAATAACTTGATCAATACCAAATGATTTTTTAACTAGTAAATAAAGTATTTTCTTTACACACACATTGTATATCATAGTTTTTTTTTTTTTTTTGGTTTCGCAAAACATCCAAAAACAAATATGCTATAAAAGTGACAATTTTAGCAAAACGAAATCCTTATCTATAATCGCCAATTGATTCCCATCAAGCGATTACTCGATTAAAAAATAATTACTATTAGTTGTATATATTGTTTCTGCCGACCAATTGAAGAGAAGAAAATATAATTTAAAAAGCGTAAAGAAATTTTAAATGGTCTCATACAAACAATTCAGAGCATATCTTCCATTTGAATTGAAATAATGAATCTTTATTTTTTGGTAATCGAAAGAAGAAACAAAAATTGAATTATTACATTGACTCAAGTTTTGAGAGGAAACATCGAACTTGATTATTTATACATTTCGAATATTATATCAACTTGTGAATATTAAAGTTTGACCTAAAAATTGTTAAGAAAATTTTTATTGAAAGCTTTGAAAAATTACGTTATTTTAAAAATTAGTATAGGAACAATTTCAGTTCTAAATGTTATCACACCAATTTAAAATCATAAAATAACGTTCTTTAATTCACCTTGACACTTTTTTGTTTTCAAAGTTACGATGAATGGATCTACTGTTACTTATCCAAAGACAATTAAAACATATGAAATGCAAGAAGAGCTCGGTCATGGTGCTTTCAGTACTGTTTGCAAGGTAATAAACAAAACAAACGGTCAACAGTACGCTTGTAAAATTTTTCCAAAAACAAATCTAGCGGACAAAGGTGACACAGATCGTTTCCAGAGAGAAATTAATGCAATGGCTTTCCTTCGACATGAAAACCTTGTTGCATTATATGACTTTTTCTGGGATGACGTAAACTTTTATATGATTATTGACTACTGCCCTGGTGGATAATTGTTTGACTATATTGTTAATCACGATAAGTTAGATGAACCGACATCGGCATTAATTTTTCAACAGATTGCTTCTGCGCTCCAATACTGCCATTCAATTGGTGTTGCTCATCGTGACCTCAAACCTGAAAATGTTTTAATAGATCAATTCCCGTTAATTAAGGTATCAGATTTTGGTCTTTGCGGCTACATCTCAGACCAGAAGATGATGAAAACTTTTTGCGGATCTCCATGTTATTGTTCGCCAGAATGCTTGTGCAGAGTCCAGTACGACGGTAGATTATCAGATGTTTGGTCATTAGGCGTTATTTTATATGCTATGGTTACAGGAGAACATCCCTGGAATATTACAAATACATCAATCATGCTTAGACAGATTCTTAAAGGCGCTTATACAGTCCCACCTTTCGTATCTCCACAATGCAAAGAATTAATTACGAAAATGATGCAAGTTAATCCTCGCGATCGTATAACAGTTGATGAAATTCTAAAACACCCGTGGCTTAAGGTTGCCGCAAGGTGTCCACATAAAAAGCCAGTTAAACCAAGGAAGGAAATTTTGAATTTACCACCGCTTAACGGTCTTACTCTTGAAGAAATTTCAGAAGCATCAGCACAGAGTTCTCAGCGTTCTGATAATGGTATCATATCTCCATTCGAAGACGTTGAAAATCCAGGTGATGATGGTTCGGCTCTTCCTAAGCTTTGCATACGTAGCTCTTCATTACAGAACGTTAGAATGGGCAAACTCTCCACAGAAAACTCTATAAACGGTTCGAGAAGGCGTCTCGTTCCGCAAGGAGGCGGAGGCGGAGGTCAGCTCACTGCATCCAGCAGGCAAAGGTCAGCGGCTAACTTGCTTATGCAGAGAGGAGCCAAGGCAAAGCCTCAGGGCGGTATCCCGATGATGACAATCACTGAAGATGAGTAAAATGTAAATTTTATTTTAGATTAAATGATGTACGTCTTTATCTATGTAAAGTTTTTGAATAAATCTAGCTTATTAAATTTTTTATTTTTCATTCTTGAGAATTTTGGATAATCTAATATAATAACATAATGTAAACAACATGTGTAAAGATGTCAATTTGGAAGAAAAGTGAGAAAATTCCGAAAATGCTAAAAATAAATTTTCCAAACATATTTTTTTATCTCATTTTTTTGATTTTGAAAAAAATTTGGAGAGAAGAACTCTTCGTTTTTGAATTTTGTCACGATGGTTTTAAAGTATATTAGACACATGTATTGATATTACTATTTTTGTATATTTTGAGAGAAAATCCCTAAAAAGTGAGAAAATCTGAGACGGTTTGAGAAAATATATAAACTATTGAAAATTTGAATGAAACTTCTAATTTGGAAAAAAGAAATTTGGAAAGAAGAAAATTCAAAAATCGAGATTTAGACTCAGTATCAAATGGAGAACAAAATGTTTCTTCATATGAAGGAAAAAATTTTCTTGAGAAGAAATAGAGTTTTTAAAATTTTATTGTATGTAATGAAATAAACAAATATTAAAATTATTTTTTGATAACAAGAAAATTCCCAACAGAAAATATTTGAGACAAAGAAAAAAAGAAAATTGAAAAATATTACTCTCCTTTACATTTCATGAGATTTTCAATTTATTTTCATAAAATTGACAATTTTATACGTTTAGATGAAAATAAGTGATTTTGCTTGAAATAAAAATTATTGTTTGTTTACAGCTATCAAATAGATTTTTGCTATTTTGATTAAAATTTGTTAATCAAATTAATAATTTTTTTTCTAAATATCTTAAATATCTGGATCACTCACTGATACGATGAATTAAACGATAAAAATAATACAAACTCAACTAAGTTTCCTGTCTTTCAACCAAAAAATATTATGCAATTTAAATTAAATTGTTTATTCAAAGATAAAACAAAGATAAAGTAATTATAATTATCATATACTTTATGAATAACTCTCTAATTGGATAAGATTTTCGTACAAATATTTTTATTAATATCGATAAGAATATGTTTACCTACTATCACCATATGTCGATAAACGAGAGTAGAGTGATTTTTATCATCGAAACTTTTTAAAAGCTGTAAGCAGGAAGTAATAATCTTGTTTTTTCTGAGTTAGTTGTAGAACTATTGATGCCCGAGTTATCATTGTGATGCAGAAGGATATCAATGTACTGACTGAAGGATATGAATTGAATTGAATTTTATTGAATTTCAATTTGATCAAAATTTGTTGAAATGATATGAATGTGTCAACTTCTGTATCATTCTCCTTCACTCCTTCCTTATTCTTTCGAGAACGAAGCTAGCTCAGCTTTCGCTGAGCGAATTGACACTTTTCATGCCCTAAACGTACATACTCTCAAATTTATCGAAAAAATTAATACCACCTAAACTAGTATATTCTTATTTTAAATATGATATTATCCTTATATTCCACACTAAAATTCATTTAAATCAACTTTTTAAAAAAGTTCGAATCCTGCGCGTCTCACTTTTTAAATTTTCCAAATGGAAAATTATATTCTCCTAAAGTGAAAACAATTTTCCAAATTGACTTCCTTAACATGTGATAAATGAAATTCGACGAAAATAAGGATAGTTTCTACTCTTGATTTCATTGTTTTCATATTAGCTAAATCGTTCATATATCTAGTACTTCCATTGCATTTGAAATCATATGGTTGCTTAAACGATGACCAAAGAGAAGAAAATTTTCTTCTCAATTAGAAAAATATTATTAACTATGATCTGCACCATATTCTCTATGGAGTTACCTTTTTGTGCTATTCCGAAAATGACATTGGCTATATCTCTATTATTTCTTCTGATTATGGAATCTTTCAGAATTTTTTTCTCTGCGTTTAACATGTATGTAAATCACATGGTGTTAAGTAAAAAGGCAAAAGATGATTTAATTTGAATATGATAGGAAAATTTTTAATAATAAACAACAAGATTCAGCTACTAAAGATAAACAATAACGTTTCTCAAAAGAGCTGATGATTATAATATAAGAAATATATAATTAAATTCAAATAATAAAAAATTTTTTTTCATGGTGATTCAGAACAAGAATTAACAAAGAATATCAACTATACACTAGTTAGAAATTCTATTTCTCTAATATAAAAATCTGTTTCTAGCACGTCTGTTTGAATTTGAATTAGATGCTTCTGTTCCAAGGTCAAATTCATTCCATGGGATGTAATTCGGGTTAATAGGGAAAGAACTTATCTTAGTAGTATTAGGAATCGGAAATACCCATAACAAAGGATTTGATCCAAGTCTTTGTTTCAAATTTTCGTATAATGAACCTGTATCGTATTTGGATGGTACATTCTTATTTATGAGTTGAGAGTATTGCATTTTTAGCTTAGTTGATTCAACCCAAGTCATATTATGAAATAAGAATGAAATTTGTGGAATTATTTGCTTCACTATCGAAACAAATAAAAGTGAAGAAGTCGAAATGACAATTAAAGTAAGTATTGATAAAATTGTATTTTTGACGCTTAATAGCATGTAAACGGAAGTGAAAGCAAGGAGGAAGAAGTTCGTAGATGAAGAAAAGAGGAATATCATGAATGATCTGTAATTTCTGGCACCTATGCAATTATTTAGATATTTGCAATGATGATCTTTGAATGCAACACAAACACCACATGTTTTACAATGATGGGAGCGTGGTGGTCTATACATTTGGCAAACTGGACAATACAATTTTTCTTCATCATCTTGATCTGTTGATGTTTCAGCTTCTGCTTGAGATATGATACCGGGATTCATAAACATAGTGGAAAGGAATGAAGTAATCGAGTAAATGAATGAAAAACAGATAAAATAAAACAAAAATTTTTGTTGATTGTATATTTCTGGATATAAAATCCAATATACAAAGCATGTTTCAAGAACTACTAGATAAATAAAGAAAAGTATTGGCAGTATACTTCTCTTATTCATCAAATTCGATCTTTGATTTTGAATTGGAACAAATTTTTTGTCACTTTTCAAATTCACCGAAAATTTTAACGTTTTGTTTTCCAAAATTACGATCCTCCGAACATAGCTGTTTACATAGAGATTGAATAGCAAAACATTGAATTGCATTAGAATCATTCTACAATAGACTACAATATCTTTATCTGATAAAATGTATTCAATTTGTTTGAGAATTTTCAACTTTTTTTTGGAAAATTTTATTTAATTTTGTTTTTATTTTATTCCATTCTTATTATATAATATCATTCATGTTTATTTTTTTATATTTTTCAATGATTACGATAACTTTTAATTCAATTTTTCAATGAATATTTTGATGGGACGAGCTTACTGATCATAGGCTCATCCCATCAAACCATACCCTTAAAAACTATTTCCTTCATCTCAGGCCAGAGCTTACAATTCATATCCTCAGAACCAAATTCCTCGACGGTCGTCCTCATTAGGATCGATCCAAGAGGAACTTGGTTCTAAATGAAAATCATAAGCTCTGGCCTCAGGAAAGGACAGAGCTTCGAAAACCAACCTCGGGGCCGGTTTCCTCAAAGACCGCCCTGATTCGGGGCGGCCGGAGAGGAATCCAGTCCCGAGAGAACGTCCCTACGAAGCTCTGTCCTTTCCTGAAGCCATATCATGCAAGATCAATCCTCAGGGCCGAGTTTTGCGATGATCGTCCTAATGATAGACGGTTTCGCTTGAGCTCGGCCCTGAAAGACATCAAATTACAAGATCTGTCCCCCACTGAGACCAGGGCTTCGCTAACATCCTTCAGAGCCAAGTTCCCTGAGATCGTCCAGATTACAGACACTTTTCAGCGGAATTTGACCCTGAAAAGTATTAAATACGAAGCTCTGGCCTCAGAAAAGGCCAACACCTGAAATACAATCCTCAGGGCCGAGTTTTGAGACGAATGTCTATTTGATGGACGTTCTCGTCAAAACTCGGCCCTGAAAGACATAAAATAACAGGTTCTGGCCTTAGCACAGACCAGAACCTATCTTACAATCCTCAGGATCGGATTTCTCAAATGTCGACCTGATCTAGGGCTACAAGAAAGGAATCCGGTCATAACAACGAGAAGATACGAAGCTCTAGTCTCAGAATAGGTAAGGACCTGTTAAATATGATTTTAATATACTATAGCTTTTTTAAAAAAAAGTGTCAGAGAATATCTTGTCAATTCAAAATGTTGTAATTACAAAAAATTTGTTTCTTTTTCAATCAAAGACAGACTTTATGTTATTAATATGCTCAGAAAAATAAGTGTCACTTTTCCAAAAATTTTAATCAATGGAAGAGGCAAGTAATACTCAATCAAATGATGTAATTCAATTTCCTCAACCAAATATCAGATTAATTAACCCGCATGTTAACCAACTTTATTTGAAATATCTCAAAGAGCAAAGAATAGATTCTTTCTTCCCAGGATATACACTAATCATGCCAGAAGAACTAAGTTTTGCTGTTAACATCGATGTTAATGCAAGTACAAATGCAATGATAATTGATCGTCCATATTTCAAAAATATTAAAGATCACTACGGCGAAATAATTGTTCTATTGAAAGTTGATAATGTCAAAAGTTACAGTGATATCCTTGATATTCTTCATGGGATACAAAATCATAATCAATATATTCACTTCAATAGAATTTTCTGCAAAATTTTAGAAAGTACCAGCATTGATCCGAATAGTTATATAAGAAAAAGCTTTCCTATTGTACAAAGATATTTGGATAACTCAGTTATTTTTCACAAAGGCGATAGATTTTTTTACGAATTGACTACTGAAAATATGGCAACATTGCAATTCTTGGATGTTGCATTAGAATACCAAACAGATAAAGGAAAAGAATTAATACATAAAAAGCAATATTTATATCATGAGAAATGCAATCAAGAATCTATTCTAAATATATTCAAAAAAATATATCGCTACTTTTCCCCTTCTCCAGCAAAGTATGGATATGAAGCCATTTCTGAACACATCAAGTCAGATTAACTACTAATTGTTTTCTTATAATTTATTTGGCCAAAGGTTCCTTACCAAAGGATCCTATTCATATGAAATTATTTGAAATTATTGTTGTAATTCTTTTAAAAGTTCGTTATATTCCAAATGAAACTTTTTCTCTCTTAAATTGATAAATAGCTATGAGAATTCCAAAATACTTCAGGAATTCTTTTTATATGAACCCAAAGTTAAGGCGTATCATAGTAATCAATATAACCATATCCTAATTACTAAATATTCATTAATAAAAATCGTTAAAATCATAAATTTTATTGGTTATAGGATGATGTAAAATAAAAATTATGTTTATTCAAACACAAGAGTAAATATAGCAGGATATGAATAAGTATATAGCCGAATTGATACGCTTTAATATTGAAATTGATCTCGGATGTAAAATTCTATAAAATAGTGAATAATTAAGAATACATCTGTAACATAATTGGAGAATTAACCAGAATGATACTAGTTCAATCGTAAAATAAAGATTTTTTTTGTATCTGAAAGGCTAATTAGCAGAAATCGTTTTACCATAGTTATAGTATTGCCGATCTATATAATTTTATGCATTTTCCAATACGTAGAAGCGTAATGAACGAGGTTTAGATTGTGTATTGGATAAGTTTGATATATAAATAATCAAACATGTTGTATGTCATTCCATTGCGTTGATAGTTAAAGTTTTGCATCTGTTTAAGATGAATTTGGAAGAAGAAAAAACAAAACTATAAATTTTGCGAAAAATCTTCTGAAGTTTACTATCAAACTACAGTATACAGTTAAATAAAATATTAACTTTTACATACAAAATAAAAAATAAAATACAAATAATTAAAAATAGCTTAAATAAATTGTTCTTGAACATTAGCATAGAAAGCTGTGCCTGCCCGAATATATTCGTATTCATCACCTGTGACAGTTAAATCAATTCCCCATTCTGCTTCTGAAACGCCTTCAACAGTTGTTGCCTGAGAAATGAGAGGGAATGTCAATGTTGGAGGTCCTTGAGATTGTAGAACTTGAGATCTCATCATCTGCTCTTCATCTTCTGGTTCTTCCGCGATTTCGATTGGTTTGCAGATGATTCCTGGAAGTTTCTTGAATGGAACATTTAGAATTTCATCTTCTTTTGGTAAAACAATTGATCCATCCTCATCAACATCACCAAATGCCAAATAGATACCACATAATAAGAGATCTCCATCTTCTAACTCTTCTTTCTCTTTGGCTATTGAGAATTTGTACTCGAGATGATTGACTTCTTTCTTCTTTTGCAAAGAAACTTCAACCAAATGCGAATTCAAAAATGCATTTAAGTCGAAAATACAAGAAGCATCAACAACAGGAGAAATCGATTCTTGCAACCATCTGGAGTATTGTGCGTGGATATCTTTAAGATGATTGATGAATGTTGATGGTTTGTTGAAGGAATAAATCTTCGACAAACTCTTCCATTCTTCAGGAACTTTGTTCATCAATAAAGGAATTGATTCTTTAACACCTCTTATTGTGTTTTCAATTGTACTTGAAACTAAAGAAACAACTTCGTTGAATTTCTCAACTTCGTGAAGCAAAAACAGACCTTTTGCACTTGAGAATTTCTTTGGATCAATTGATGACAAACACCGAGGAACTTTTTCGAGGTTTTCTTGCAGTGTTTTCTGCATATCTTCGTGTGTTTGTATTTGGATGAGTTGGTTTCCAAATTCATACATCAGTGTCTGAGCAACAACTAAATCTCTGATTCTTGCTGCTGATTTAGACATGCCTACAGCTTTTGGTTCAGGAATCAAAGGCAAAGAAACTAATTGTTGAGCGATTGATGAAATAGGAATGTCTCCTGGAACTGTCCATGCTGATTTGGGATCTCCTGTGATGCTGAATCCTTCGTTTAGGACTTCCGGACTTATTATAGAACGGCACATTGCATCAATCAATCTTCTGTCGAATGGATCAGAAATTCCTGGGAAAACCAATCTCATGATTTGCTGGTACAAGTTTTCGCATTGTACATCACTTGGAGAGGCCGCAACAATCAAAGGAACTTGTCTGACGATATCAGCAAAAGAGGCAACATTCATTGTGAGTTGGTTAATGAAACCACCATGTCTGAAGAATGATCTGGAGTTTGCCAAAATGATTTGCAACAAAATTGAGAAAGAAAGTTTCTTGATTTGAACAGTATTCGTTGAAACTTGGATTGCTGATGAGTGTCTTGTGAACAATTGCTGTGCAAACAATCTGCAGAACATCTCTGGTTCGTAACTCATCTTCTTGGCTTCCGAAATCAATCTTTCCGGCAAGAAAGCAGGAGAATGACAAACAACAATTAATCTAAAGTTTGGATCTGCTTGTCCTGACTTCATTCTCGAATGAACATCAGCAATAACTGATGCTGCTTCTTCACTTGGTGTTGTATAATGAATTATAGCTAAAGAACCAGTCTTAAGAACTTGTGAAAGTTCTTTTTCTGCAATGGAAATTGATTCTTTAGATTCAGTGATTGAAACAACACATAAAGCATCTAAATGTGATCTTTGCATTGCGTAGCTATAAATTAAAGGTGTTGGATCAGCATCTTTAGGTGCAATGACTAATGTTGCTTGTGTGGAACTCGAGGAAAGCATTGTTTCAGCTTGGAAAGGTGAAATCAATGTCAAAAAGTTCTCAACAGTATTATTCTTGATGTATTTGAGAATACTTGGTAAAATGTCTGGAGCAGCACATCCCAAAATGAAAGGAATGTCAACTTTATCAGGAATAAATCTTGAATCATAGGCCAATTGATCATCAACTCTTGAACAAAATGCATTTAATATTTCTGTCACCTGTTGCTTATCGATATCAATCTTTTGATCTCTGTAATAAGCCAATCTGAAGGCGAACAAAGTTGCAGAGAAGAATGACAATGAGAGATAAGCATTTTGAATGCATGATATTATCAAAGAAGACTTTAACTTCTTTAATAAACTCTCATTGCACTTGGAACTGATGCCATCATGTGTCAAACAATTATATAAAATTGTTCCGAAACATTCTAAATCAAATGTAACGTAAGGGGCGTACAAAATGATTCTTTGAGACAAAATAAACCATATTGTAGCTAGAAGTTCAACGTGTTCCTTGAATGGAGCAATTTCTTCGTAATAAGCAGCTTCTTCAGGTATAGATTCGTTCTCTGCGGCTCCAATCATATAAGAATTCTTACTTTCGCAAAATTCATCAATTCTTTTGACATCTAAAAGGAAAGTATCAGCGTCGACAGCTGTTATTATATCCAAAGCCTTCTGCATTGAGTTCTTTGTTTGGATCTTATGCTGTCTCTTCACTGCCAATGCTGCAATGTAGTCTTTCTGATCATCTTTCTTCAAGAACTGCAAAATTACAGAATTGAAGTAATCATTGATAATTGGAGATCTGTCTGTATCGCATCTGATTGTTATGATTCTTGTGTTCAAGTTCTCAGGTACTTCATGGAGATCTCCTGCAGTATACAACACAACCTTGAAGCCTTCTTTGACTTCGATTGTTTCGTTGTTGTGGAAAACTTTGTTTCCTCCATTTGGTGTTAATTGGTCGCAAACATCCAACAAAAGTGGAGTTGTTTTATGGATATCTGTGATGACCAAAACTGTTCCTTGTTCCATAGCATCTTTAATAGCATTGTCTATATTAGAGATACTCTGTGAAACAATCTTTGTTCCAGGAACACTTTCAAAAGCCTTCAAAGCAAAGCCATTTTTATCAACAACTAAAACAGTGTACATTAAATGCATTGCAATTGTTATGGCAATTGTTATTGTGTTTCCTGAGATGCAATCGATTCTGTTTACAGAGTGATCAGGGAACTGTTTGAACATGAAGTTGCTCATGAACTCATTATAGTCTTCTTTTACTTCTAATATTGGTTTAACAATGTCTTTTCCTTCTTCGAATTTTTGTTTTCTTTCGCGTTCGTGAATTGACAATAAATAAGTAGTCGAATAAGCAAACAACAAGTCACTAACGATGATTTCACGTTTCAACATCAGCATGTTGTTCAAATCATTCTCCCAGGAGTTACGAAGTAATTCATGTGAATCTGCCAATTTTGACAAAACCGCCAATCTCTCAGAAAGTTGTTTATGTTCTGCTTCATATTTCTCGAGTTGTTGAGTCAATTCTTTGAGAGCGATTTCATCCTTTGCGAGTCCAATTTCAACAGATTCGAATGTCTTGAGTTCATTGTTCGTTGTCTCTTCCAATTTGTTGTATTCATCAGTTAATGTTTCGAGTTTTGTCGCGTTCAAATTCAATTCTTCTCTAACAGCAGTTATTGCTTCGATATTTACAATGTAATCGAAAATGTATTTCAAGCCAGGAGGTATCAAATCCCAGTTGATCTTCTTGAACTCTTCTCTGCTCAAGAACCTCTTGAGTTGGCCTTGTTCGTACGGTCCTAAAACAAATGGTTTCACGTTGTTCAAAATTGTTTCGACAAATTTTTCATCGTGTAACAATTGAACACCATTTTTATCGAAATCAGGTTCTTTGTTCATGAAGATACATAGACATTCCAATAGTGATCTAACGAAAGGAGAAGGATCTTCTGTAGCAATTAATATAGTCTTTATATCATTGCTTGTTAAAGATTCAACTTGTTGTCTGTTTTCGTTAATTAATGGTTCCAAAGATTTGTATTTTTCTGTTTGTTTTGAAACAATTGATTCGAGTTTCTCGAGTTCTTCCTTTTTGATACTCAAATCATGGTTCAAAACTTCTCTTCTCGATTCAATTGATTCTTTCCTTACATTGTAAGATCTTGACAATGTTTCTGAGTCAACTCTTACAGCGTTCAAATTTGGATTAAGGAGATTTAGTTTGAGCTGGATATTCTTCATTTCATGGTCCATTTCGAGGAAGCATTGAGCTGCAATTGTACACTTTTCAAAGTGTTTATCGAGCTCTTTGTTTCTTTGTTTCGAAATGTTGAAGAAAATGTGGATAAACTTGGAAATGAACTCAGAAGGTAATCCATCAGGATGTGCATGGAAACAAAGGTTGTAGACGTACTTCCAAGCATCAGGAACTGTGTCTACAAAGAATGATTCGTACTCTGATTCTCTTGCGTACCTTGTGTACAAATATTTGATGTCGTTTTCTGTTGGATAAACAGGAGCAAAGAAATAACAACCTGCTGTTAAAGAAATAGGTTCATGAGTACTTACAACGAATGACAAAGAACTGGAGAGTAATTTATCAACACACTCGTAATATTCTTTGAAAGATTTCTTGTCTCCAAATTTCTTGGCCATTTTTTCTTTCAAAATCGAACAATTGCATTTTTCATCACAATTAAAGAATTGTGTGAAACAAACATTTGTACACATCTTCAAGAATTCTTCAGCGATTTCAACTGATTCTGGTTCAACAAAGAACATTGTCTTCTTATCATCCATTGCGTTAACAAATGCTTCATTGAGTTTTTCGAAGAATTCGCGTCTTGTGAATTTTCTACTCATATGAACAAAATTGTAATCATTTGCGTAAGCGTAAAACTTCGTGTAAGCAAGTTTCTTAGTGATATCATGGCCAATGAAAATAATATTCTTTCCGGAATCTTTGATTGCAAATGACAAACAAGCGAAACTTCTCATTGACAAAGGACTGAAATCGAAATTAATGATGTCTTCATGTTTTTCTTTCGCTTTATTGTACATTTCGGCAATGTTCTTATAGTATTGTTCATAAGAACATTCTATAAGTTCAATATTACCATCCTTATCGATACCTACATTGCAAAGAGAACTGTAATCAAGGAATTCTTGTACAACTTTCTTTTCGAAAGGTGTTGGAAGTGTTTCATCAGCAATTTGCATAACAACGTCTTTGTAATAGTTGACATCGTATTTATGCAAAGTGTAGTAATAAAGAAGAGCTATAATCATCTTTGTACAAAGAATTGTGTTTGCTTTATCAGCATATTGGTTTATCTTCATCGCACAATTAGATGCGAACCTGGAAATGTTGTCTTCATCAAGTTGTTCGAATACATCGACAATAAACTTCGAAATCCATTCGCATTTGAGTGCCGATAAACCAGAACTTTGCAAATATTTCTTGCCAACAACTCTTGATGAACTTGCGTTTAATTCATCAAGTCTTATTGGAAGGAAGTGTGAAAGGAATCGTCCTGGTAATGTTGAGATATCATTTGTTGTTACAATGATTCTTATTGGTGGCAATTTAATGAATTCAATGAATTTCGGATCGTATGGAGATGACAATCTGACTTTTGATTCTTCAATGATCATTCTTAAGAATTCCATCATGATTATATGTGTTTCCGTGATGTTTTCAACTACCAAAACATAGTTGCAGTCCCAATCTGTGTTTTTGTCTGAGTAATTCGTCATTTTCTCGATGAATCTCGCGATGTTTGCCGCTGACAAATCGTTGGAAGAATGAATGGAAAGTGGTTTCATGTCAGGATTTTCTTGGTACAAAATCGCAAGGAACAAATCAAGACGTGTTTGATCAGGAGAATACAATAACAAGTTCAAGTTAGTGTACATTATTTGTGTCACATGATTAATGATTGGTAAATAAGCAGGAGGAATAACATGACCGCCTTGTTTCGAACAAATCGAAGCATCTAAAGGTCTCAATTTATTGAACTCGATGCAAACAGAATTCAATGTTGGTGTTGGGAATGCTTCGAGGAAATCACTTGGCATGTATTCAGGCCATTCATCGATCTTGATGTCGTACTTTTCTCTTATCCATTTTTCGAATTTTGATTGTTCTTTTTCATTCAAAATTCCAGAGAAAACATGCATAATTGTGAAAACAATTACAGTTAAAATTCCTTGTTGAGTTGACAACATTTCTTTGTTCTTCATGAATGTATTCAAGGCATAAACTGAAGCTTGGTATGGTAAAACTTCACTGATATAACGCGAATTATCATTTGTATACTGTGGTTCTTTTGCGTAACATATAGGATTTGGAGTATTATAGATCTTATTAACAACAGAAGGAGCAACTTGTTTAAAGATTTCAAAAATACTTGCAATGGAATCGCTCGTCAAATCTCTTGCGAAAGAAGCAGCGTGACTTAAAGTAAACATTGGGTTTAACATCACACATTGTTTCTCTACTTCTTCGCATGACATAACAATTGCAGATCTTGCAATTAATGATGGAGAAGCATGAGAAATATCTGTTGTTTCAATCAAAATACCTGGTAATCCCGAATCTTTGTGGTAAGTATCAATTGATCCTAATCCAAATGAGCTCAAATCAGGTGTACCTAAGAATGAAGTAATAAATGAATCAAACTCTTTCGTGATTGGTCCATCGAACTTCAACAAAACGTTGTAATCTTTTCTACTGTCAATTTTTTCATTGACAATAGAAATAATTTGGCCGTGTCTATAAATGCCATCAACTGTCTCGCCATAGATATTTCTTGGAAGATCTGAGTTCATGTAGCAATTTATGACCTTGAACGGTTTCAACTTTGGAAAAGATTTCTTGAATTCCGGTTGTTTCATGACATTTTCGAGGACTTTTGTGATCAATGACTTTCCTGTATGTGGAGGACCAACAATGATGACACACATTCTGTTCATTAATAGTTCTTTAACAGTTACAACGTTGTTTACGAAGAATTGTGTTGGAATTTTCACATTTAATCTTGAGCATTCCTTGATGATCAATGCTCTGAATGCTTCTCTATCTTCATTGTATCTTGCGTATTCAACCTTTTCTATGAGTTCTTCGAATGAATCGCCTAATCTGAATGCAGCATAAACTAAATGAGTCAAAACATTGTGGTCGCATTGAGATTCGAAGAAATCATAACAAGCACTTGCCAACATCGCATCTTCTGAACCTGTTCTTCTGAAGTTTGCTGCGTTCTCGATGATGGCGTTCATTTCAGGAAGAGGTGTCTTGAAACTGAATAATGGTTTGATTGATTTCAAGAAGGCAACAAGTTTTGGAGCTAATTCTCCATAATCATGGAAACCTGTTGTTAAAAGTTTGATTTGAGCAAAGATTTCGAGATCAGGAACCCTCATTGCAACTGTTCTTGCAAATGATCTTATTTGTGTTGGAATCTTCTCTGTTTTAGCACTTGTTGTGAACAAAATTCTCGATTGTTTGGAGTAAGGAACTTGTATTCCTTCAATATTGATTTTTCCTGTGTTATTTAATGAATTTATCTGCCACGAACAATCAAATAAATAACTCAATCTCGAAGGTGTCATTCTCTCTAAACCAGCGATGATTGTCCATGCTCCAATTGTTGAAGTGCCAATGACAATTCTCTTTAATGAAGCTGCATTGATTTCTGGGAAAGAATTGAACACAAAAGCAGGAGAACCAAACATTGAAGCCAATGTTCTTGCAATCAAAATCTTTCCTGAATGTGATGGACCGCTTATCAACGTAGGACCAAACAATGAACCGCTTGCAGCAACATCTTGATAAACACTTTCTATTTCAGGAGTGAATATCAATCTTGGAACAGAGCCCCAATATTCATATCCGAAATTCCATTTCGATGTTCCGTGTTCTACAATTACATCATTTGTAGAACCAGCGAAACTGTAGTTCAAGATGTTGTTCATTGCCAATTCTTGTTGGTAATTCCATCTTGGCTGATATAATTCTCTGAATCTATCTCTTATAGATATCAAGAAAATTATAATTGAAGCAACTTTAGGACGATCTTTTTCAGGAATATTCAAAGATCTTAATCCGATTGCATCATTGATTCTTCGAGTAATTAATTGTTCGAAATCTAAGAATGCTTTCGGATGTGATTCCAAAGTCTTGAAACACTCCAAAACTTCTCTTGTTATTATAATATTCAAACAAATAATTGCTGTATAAGTTGATGTTTGTTGAACCCATTCAGCAAAAGGCATTGTTGGGAATAATACCAATGAAACACTGATATGTTCTCTCATTGCTGCTTGCATTGCTTCTATTATATCATTTACTAATGTTTCGATATCAGAAGTGTATCCTACTTGATGCAAGAAAGCGCAAGTATCATTATGTTGGCCAATCAATCCATAAATCTTCATTCTTTGGAATGATTCCGTATATTCTTGTTCATTTTCATGAGTATCGAATTTAACAACTCCCATCAACATCTTCACGACAATATGTGTGAATGACTCGAATGATTTAGTGGTAATGAGCTTAAGAATCTCGAGATCTGATAGGAAATTGAGTCTTGGACATAATTGTCGCTTCTTGTCAATGAGAGGAGAACTTGAACTAATGATTTCTTCAAGAACTTTATCCATCTTACGAATAACAGTATACAAATCAGGATATGAACAAACAGAGAATAATCTTGTATCATTCATTACATGCCTTGCAATCTTATGCCATTCGTTTTGAACATCAACATATTTTTCTGTCAATTTTGGCAACATTTTTCTTGCTTCATCTGATTTGAAAATTGTTGCAACGCAATTGAAGTTTCTTTGGAACAAGAACCATGATTCCAATATTTGATGACATGAATTTAAGTTCTGTATCAAATCGGAACATTGATTTCTTATGTTTCCAGAATAAGGATTTGCTTGTATTTTCTCTAAAACAATCAAAGAATCAGCAATATTTGTAATGATTGGATCAATAGGAGCGATATTTAATGTGTCTTCTGTTAAAACCATTGTTTCTTGCAATTGCAATTTAACATTATGCCAATGCTCATGAACATTTACGAATTCTAATTCTACTTCAGCTTCTGCGTGTGCGAATGATGTTACTTGAGCAACAACGCCATCGTTTGAAAGTATTCCGTATTGCATCAATTGCTTGATTGTTACATCTTGTGAATACTTTTCTTGGCAATTGCATTCCGCATACAAAGATTCCCAATGTCTTTGATGCATAGGGGCATTTGATAAATTCTGGAGATTTGTTAAAACAAGCTTGAACGAATCCGTTGTCTTCTTCAATTCATCGAAAACAGGTGTCTTTAATCCACCAACATTCAATGCTTCTATAATTGATGTAATGTGATTGAATGTTTGAAGGAAGTTTTCGACATCGATTTCTGAAAATGGAGAATTCGTTGTGAAATCTGTGAGTCTGACCCAATCCTGGATAGCGCTGAACATCAATAGCATCTGGTCGACGATCTTGATGATGTTTTGGTAGAAAGAAAAATCATTGAATTCGATTCCTGTTATTTGTTGCATTGAAACTAATTTATTAATTTCATCTTGCAAAGCAGAAATCTTTTCTTTCTGTTCTTTAGCGCGTTCCGAGTACATCTTAATACCTTTAGATACTTCATCGAGTGTAGAAGGTATTGATGTAACTTCCGAATACAATTTTGATAAAACTTTTTCCATGTCTTCGACTTTTTTCTGCAAAATAACTGAGTATTCATCTCTAAACTTAGTTTTGTTTGCAATTGCAACTTGTTCAGCTTCAGAGAACGCGTTCATGAGTTTATCAAGAGGATTTACTTGTATAGTATTGATCTTATATTTAGATAACAATGCAATTCCTTTGTTTACGAAGTCAATTTCTTCATTAATTGCTGGTTTAATTTGTTCTGTTCTTTTTACAAGTTCGCATAAACTTATATATGATTCTAAACTCTTTGGTTCAGCGTTCAAAGCAATTGAATAATTATTAAGAACGTTTTCTGTAAGAGCAATCTTCATTTTAACGAGTTTAGTTATCAAATCCTTTATATCATCAATTCCTTTCTTAGGAATTGGCAACAAAATCGATCTGAAATTGGAAGAATCAATAAACAAAGCTCCTTTTGAAGTTCTTTGTCTGATATTTGTAACGGCTTCTTGATCCCTTACGAAACCTTTAAGAGCTCTATCTATTTCTTCAAAATCAACAACAGGTTCATCACCACTATTAATAAGGAAATCATCTTCTTTAACTCCTTCTCTCACTTCACTTATGACACCTTTAAATTCGTCACCTTTTCTTGTAAACAAAAATTCCATTGCATTCCAATCTTGACCTAGTTTGAAGATATTGTAGTATTCAGCGAACGATCTTGTTGATTCTACAGCTTCGTTATATGATTTCCTTATTATATCTAGTATGTGTTTCTCAGCTTCAATATGTTCTTTCCTTGAATGAATCAACATCAAAAAATTCGGACCATATCTATACAAATTTTCAATGTCTAAACCAGCGTCTCTTATGAAAGGACAAAGGGAAGTTTCATGTAAAATACGTGGTAGTGAGTTAACTAACTTCATACTGATTTGTACTTCTGCGGCAATTGCTTTTTCTATCTCTCCAAGCGATGGAGTTAATTCGATTTGTCCTTTATCAGTAAAAACAACTTCAACTTTGAAAACACTAGACATATCAGTCGAAAATACAGAATCTGCGTTTTCAAAAGCATCAATTGTAGCTGTAACAAGATTTTCAAGGATCATGTAATCAACAGATCTGATCATATTCCCTATTGCTTTGATTTCTTTGTTGACATTGTCAGTTTTTTCTTTTCTTAGTTCAGATTTCTTCTTTTCGAGGTTTGCAAGCTGTGTAATGTTTGGTGGGTTCTTTCTGCCTTTCCAGAAATCTTTGTCTGCAACTTCTATAAGCTGTTTATCTGATAATTTCGAATAAATATCTTTCGAAATTTTGTGATTTATGCCTTCGATGTATTTAAAGTATTGGGCCTTCAAATTGTCCTTGAGATCTTTGCTTTTGGCTTGGAAATCTGGTAAAGTGTACATTTTTTGGGTTTCAAATGCAAATAAATTTTCAAAAATCATTTTATCGACTAATGACGTTGAAATATAGAATTGTAGCTCGTTAATGAAGAATTCTGGGTTCTTGAAGATTGGTTTGACATATGTTATTTGTTGTAATTCTTCATATCTTCGTCGTAAAACGAATTTCTTCCAAATTGTAAATGGATACCAATAACAGTATTTCTGGAAGATTTTTAGCCTCCTGACACTTTGAAAAATTGATTCTTCTCGTGCCCATTGATCTAATGAAATTGATTCTGTAAAACCTGAAGGATCTACGTGAGTAACACCTGTAGCTGACATCATGAAGTAATCATTACCGATTTCAGCGGATGTGACTTTCCTTAAGTTATATGGTGAAAAATCTGGATCAGAAGGATTTTGAGCGTAAATTAAGTAGATAAAACGAAGTCCATGACCATCTTTGTGCTTTGAGAAGTATGCTATTGGTTCTTCATCAAAGTCAATTGATAGTTCTTCCGGTTTTAATTCTTGATTATACATTTCATGCGGAACTTTACCAGAATTTCTTAATGATGATAATAGCCGTTTGCCAAGGGATGTTTGTAGACGAGATTGAGCCTTTTTAGTTGATGTCAATGGTGAATATAAAATTGGTTTCGTATTTTTACTTGCTCTGTTTCGCATTGCGTATAATCCTGGATTTTGAATAGCGAGTATAGGATCAGATGACTCCGATCCTGGCTTATCAATGCTAAAATTCCTTGTATCCGCGAGAAAATCTGAAGTATCATAAAGTGCTCCTTGACTTTCTTGCTGTATTTTCGATATTGAAGCATGAATTGGCTTGTATGTCTTGTGCATAGGTGTATTTTCCTCTGCAGAAGCTAGATCAGGATCATCTAGCCAATTCATTTTTTTCTTACTTTCTCTAAAACAACGTATATCGAGATAATCGTTTTTCTCAGAAATTTTCTCATGTGGTAAAATCTTAAAATCTTTGCAATGTTTAGCTCCCAAAACAAGTTAATTTTGTTTTACACACTTGGCAGAGTATATAAATCATATTATTTATGTTCATCAATTTTTCACTTTTTTTGATTTTTATTTAGAGAAGAATGCGGCGGCGCAACTTTAATAGGAAATCGCTGCCTGCAGATTCAGAGCAAGAAATATCTGATATGCTAGCTGAACAACTTGCTCAACCGCCAAAACAACCTAGAATCGTAAGATTGCATAAGAAAATGGGCGAATTGAAAAAAGATAATACACATGCGTATCACGATGAGACTTATGATGGTGATGTACTAAAATTAGAACAAGAATGCGCCGAAAAAAGAACAGAGATTACTTCACTTGCAGATACTGATGCGGCAGCAGTTGTATCTGAATTCGAAGATGAATGTTTAGAGTTATACTTAGAAATAAATAGATTGAAAAAGATTCAGCAACAACCTTTAGATGAATCCACAAGTATCGCTTCGAAAATTGCAAAAACACGATTCGACGACATTCTGCAACCATTTGCTACAACAGATAAGAAAATTAACGATCTAAAAGATCACATTGAAAGACAAGAAATAATAATCACGAATTTAGCAAGTGCTCAATCTCCAGGAGATGTTGAAATAGCTACTCTATATCAGGATACACTCGAAGATATAGATAATACTATTGAAATACAAAAGAAAGAAATTGAAGACTTACAAGCTAAACTGAATAAAATACGATCGATTCAAGAAAATCTTGTTAACGAATTAACTGATTTAATGCTAAGTTAGCAAATAATTTCTCAAAATTTATTGAAATTTATTTTTTCTTCAATATTATTTACCATAAGGTGCAAATTTGCATGCAAGAGACAATGCAATTGGATTTTGCTATGGTTGTTGATATTTGTCTTTAATCATTTTAATTCTTGCTCATATTTGTTGTTTAACTAAATATTTGTTTTGTTTCTTTATTGAGCTAATAAAATTTCCATTTGAGCCAGTTTTTAAGGTATTTCAAGTGCAATTCAGATACCAAAGGAAAATGTTTCAGCTTTGTTACTCATTCGTAATAAAAAACATCAACACACAAATGGATAATCTTAAATATATTGAAAATGTTTATTTAGAAACAAGGGAAACAAGAAAAATTAAGAAATTAAATTTATTATTTCGTTTATTGTTAACTTTGATTTCTTCTTTTGCTTCTGTTTCTTTTGTTTTTGTTTTTATTATGTTTTCTTCTGGAAATTCAAGTTCTAGTTCTGCAAAACATAAACCTGATGACAAATGATGATTTTCTGGATATTTTGAATCTACTCTCTCTGTTATTGTGACAGATTTATATTTACCAGGATCTGTAATGTCAAAAGAGCATCCTTTAACTTCAATTCGATTGGAATCTGCATAGAAATAATGAGTTTTGATGTTATTTTTATAAAAACTGCAATTAATGATATAAAGATTCTTACCACTCCAAATAAGTCTATAGCATTCATTTTCGAAGTAATTACAAAAAAGAATTTTAAATTCAAGTGAATTAGATGATCCCTGATGAGATGCTTCAGAATTAGTTGATGTAGATGTGCTGTTTGAAAATGTTAAAAATGTTACGCTTGAGTTAGATCTAAAATAAACAGTGTAGAAATTATTGTAACTCAGTTTTGAATATGAAATATTGATTGATTTAATATTTGTTTCTCCATAGAACAAATAAATATTTTTAAATCCTTCTTTGTTTTCGTCACCGCTTGAAGTAATTGTTGAATCAAGGACATAATTCTTAAATGGAGATGTAGTTGAAACTGTAACATGACAATATACACCTTCTTTTGGTGTTCTAGAGCCAAAACTGCAGATTCGGTCTTGAATACACTCACCGTTACTAGAACTTACGTATAAAGAGCCACCATTGGCGCTCTTGTGTTCACATTTGTCAAATGAGCTTGTATCAATGAGAAATTTAAGATTGTTGTTTGTCGTGTCTGTGATACGAACTGCACCTGTTGAATTAAGGTAAATAAACAGACAAAGAGAGATGTAATAGCTCTTATCAACATTGGGACTGGGCGGTTCGTTTTTATTTTTGTATGTTTCGTATTCGATTGAAGAGTTGAAGAAGTCTTCCCACTCCTCGTGAGAAATAGAAGGAAATATATTGGATTGAAGAATTTGATAAGTGTAAAATTCATCGTATCAATCATTCTTCGCTTTGACCTAGAAATTAAAAGGCAGCATTTCGAAAGAAAGAAAAATTTCGCATTTTTTTATGAAAATTTTGTAAAGTGTGTTTTTTTAAATTTTTCGAAAAGTTCAAAAAATTCTCTACACATTATCACTTGAGTAGTATGAACATGGCATATCAAAATGTCATATACATCCCACACTGTGCATACTGCAAAATATAAACAACATCCAATTTTTTTCAAACTAAACACAATCTTTAATAGAATAACAACCTACTTTTAAAAATTTCATATGAATACATCAAAAAAGAAATTTTTCTTCTTGCGATTCATAATTTTTATTTGAAATTCAAAGATCTCCCGAAAATGAATAAGAAATTTAAGTTAATGTGAAACAGAACAGTGTTATAGAAGATATTTCACATATAATATATATAATATATAATTTATTTACAATACAAACATAATAAATAAAAATATAATTAGTCATCGTCGTAGTTCATAGTACTACTGTTGACGAAAAGCCATTCAAAACTAAATTCGATAGGATCGATCTTGATTGATGCTTTCAGTGAATCTTTGTCAACTTGTGGACCGATGTCTTCAAATTTAAGTTTCTTTGGAAGTTGGAGATTTGGGCGGATGTTTTCTGCAATGTATCGAGCAATTGGACCTTTGCCACGCAATCGCTGTTCATTGAAACCACCAATCAAAACTTGTGAAAGAGAGATAAAATTCAAAAGATTGGGAAATGCAGTTGAGAAGTTCTCTGAGAAACAATCAAAGCAACTCTGGATCTTACGAACATTTTCAAGAAGAATGGTGACTTTGTCGTTGTTAATTTCACCACCACTTTCCATAATAACGTTGAAAACAAGTGAATCAAGGTAACAACAGCATTTAACGATGATATCTTGCAATAAAACATCTGAGATTTCAACATCTCGTGCTCGTTTCAAGAATTTTGAACTTAAACTTGTTAATTTAGCTAATGATGTTTCACTAACAAAATTAAAACCATCATTGTCAATGCTTTGGCCAATTGTGGCTGCCAATGTCTGTGTGATGATGTTGATGACCTTAGAAATGACTTTTTCCAAATTAACAAGTGTTGAAATGTGGACATTTGTTAATTCACCTGCAAGACTACTAATAGTGTATCCTAAGTTGATAAGTGATGAAAGATAATAAATGTTTTCGTCAATTTGATAGAGAGATGTTGCAAGATTTGCTGATTTAAAGAATGGTGTGAAGATTCGAATAACATCGTCATCTGTTAAATCTCGGTGTTCGAAGATTCGACACTTTTCTAAAAGTCGTGAAAGTAAAATAGGATAATCGGGTCGAATTAATGTCTTGAAGTAGATACATGAGTAACATTTCAATGCTAATCGGACTGAAATAGAAGAAACAGCGATTTCTTTGAGCTTGTTTAAGTGTTTTTGAGTATCTATTTTAGTTCCTGCAAATTCTTGGACTTTGATATCAACTTTGACCTTTTCAACGATTTCCTCTTCAACATACTCGTATTCATACTCATCTTCTTCCTCTTCTTTCTTATGTTCTTCTTCAATTTGTTCTGGTTCTTTTTCTTGTGCAAAAATAGTTTCGATTTTCTCTTCTTCAGGTTTGACTATTTCTGCTTTTGGTTCAATAATATAATGTGTTTCTTCAATTGATTTATTATCATTTATTTGATCAATTTTTACTTCCTCTTTGATGTTACTTTTCTCGGATTCAACTTGTTTTTGTTCTTCAATTTGTTTCTGTTTTTTAAGTTTTTTGATCTTTTCTTGAAGTTTTTGTTCATTTTCTCGTCGTTTCTCTTCGAATAGTCTGTTTTCTTCTTCTTGTCTTGCAATTTCTGCCGCTTGAAGTTTAGACAATCGTTCTTCTTCTTCTTTCATAGCCAAAAATGTTGACATTTCAACTTCTTGCCGCATGATCTCATTAAGTTCTTCTTTTGACTTCTCTTTCTTGATTGTCTTTTCTTGTTCACCATTTTCTGTTGTATTTTGTTGTGGTGTTTCAATTGTTACTGTTGTTGTTTGTTCTTTGTTTTCTTCTGTTTCTTTATCTGTATCTTGTTGTTTCTCTTCATTTACTTGAACATTTTCAGTATTTTGTTCTTGTTCTGGATTTTGAGATTCAGTTTTTTGTTGATTTAATTCTTTGACAGACTCGGTGACTTCTTGATTTTCTTGTTCTTGTTCGGGAATGTTTTCTGGTTCTAATTCATTTTGAGTTGAATTTGAAATCTCTTTTTGTTCTTCATCATTAATTTCTTCTTTCACTGGTTCTGGAGAAGTTTCATTGTTTTCTTGTTGTTTTTCAGTATCTTCTTGAATGGTTTCAGCAATTTCTTCTTTTTGAGTTCTTGGTTCTTGAGAATTTTCTAATTTTTGTTCATTTTCATTATCTTTTTGAGAGGAACTTGAATTTTCTTGTTGTTTTTCATCAGTTTCTTGAACAGATTCAACAGTTTCTTCTTTCACGTGTTCTGTAGCAGTTTCTTTCTTTTGTTCTTCTTCTATGCTTTTAGTTTCGTTTGAAATCTCTATGTTTTCTTGAGAAGTAATAATATTATCTTCTTTAATTGGTTCTGGTTCTGTAGTGATTTCGGACTTTTGTTCAGTTTCAATGTGATTTTGATTTGAATTTGAAATTTCAACATTTTCTTGTTGTTTTACATCAGATATTTCAGTAACTTCATTTATTTGTTCTTTTGAAGGTTCTGTTTCTGTTTTATGATCTTGTTTTTGTTCTTTTTCGAAATTATCTTGTTTTTGAGATTCTTTTTCTTCTGTTTTAGTAGAATCAATTTCTTTTTCTGTTTGTTCAGGATGTTGATGAATAGATATATCTTTGTCTGTTTGACTTGAACTTGGATTATCTAAACCACGAGATTTGTGTTTCTTTTGTTTCTTCGTAGTATCAGATTCGTGTTTTCCTTTAGATTTATGGTGTTTCTTTTGTGGTTCTTGTGGTTGTTCTTTTGTTAATGAAAAAGTTTGAGGTTCTTTTTTGGTTTTCCTTTCTAATGACGAAAGGTTTGAATCTGTAGCATCAATATCATTATCTGATATACCAAATGCGTCAATTGTGTTCCCGAAATCAGGTGCTTGAGTTCTTTTTGTAATAAACGAGAAATAGTTTGTTGGAATACCTATTGAGAATTCTTCTGCAGGAATAACGCAAAATCTTACATATAAATTTACATTTCCGAAATCTGATGAAGCGACAGAAAAATGAACGCTTGGATCCCTCGGATCTGGCATGTTTGATGCATCAAAACGCCATTTGCATATTTCTACTTCCTCTTTCTTTTTGTTACTTACAGAAACAAGTTGAATTTCAACAACTTTTTTTACATATTTATCGCCTTTCTTAACTGTTGTAAAAGGTAATGAGAATTCGTTATCAAAATGTGCAATTAAGTTATTATCTAAGTTTTTATAAGAAGTTTCGGATGAAAATGCGAGTTTTGTTTGTCCTCCAGCCGTCTTTTTCCTCTGAACACGAATGAATAAAGGTTTATTATACTTTTCCGGGAACTGTACCTTTTCAACAAGAATAAAGGCAATGTAGTTCATGACTTGCTCCTTATTCATTTTTTTTTCTTCACAAAGGATTTTTTGCCAAATTTGCATAACACTTTTTCAGCCTAGTTTCATCGATTGTTATGCTGTTTAAAAGTAATAGTAAGCATGCATGATATGATAGATTTAAGCTCTAGAGTTTCCGACCTAATATACCAAAAGCAAAATTTATTTTGGATTTGATTTATGCAATATCAGAACAATTTCATAATTAAAATGATGTATAAAGGATTTCAAATCTTAATATGGAAAGTATATTGTTCTCTGATCAAATACAGATATTCTTTTCAAATATTTGAGGGAATTCAGATTCAAAATTGAAAGGGTCTGGCTATTCGTAATAATAAAAAGGATCATCAGATGTGGAAAATTAAGTATGTATTGGATCTGATTTTCTCTGTCACTTTTAATAATTGAAAAGACAATGTCAATTTTCAAACCACAATAAAAAAATTATTTACATCTGATAAATGACAACGAAATTTAAACAAATTTCGAAGGAGATAGAAGATGTAAATGCAGATCTAGATATAGAGACTCTCAAATTATATATTAAAGAGTTCGAAATCTGGCTGAATCAATTCAAAGGTAAAAATGGGAAACGAACTTTCTTTTCCCAGAAGCCATTAATTATGAAATTTCTGCAAGTACTTTCCATACAGTTTAAAAAGCAGAAAAACGAATTTAAAACCATCTTTACCTATCTTCCTTCGATAATAAAAACATTAGTTCTTCCAGGTAATGATTATGAAATTCGAAAAGAAACGCTAGTTGTTGCTATACCTCTTGTTGACTATTCTAATAGTACTTTATCCATTCTTTACAACTTTTGGATCGAATTTCTTTTAGAACCGTTATTTGCATTTAATAATAAAGAATTAGAAGATGGTTCATTAAAAATAGGCGATACCCGTGATGTCACAGCTAATGATATCATTTCATTCAACGAAATTTTAATAAGTCATCTTGACGAAGTCAAAGATTCGGATTTTATATACTGGTATAAACTACTTGCAGCAAACTCCATTACCGCAGTCTTGGAAAACACTTGGGGAATTTCTCCAGAAATTCAACTCAAATTCGCCCAAATTTACGCTAAAAACCTTGTTCAAAAGGTTAATTCGGGGTTTTACACGCAGTTTATTGAGACTGCGTCTAAAACAAATAAGCACGAACCCCGCGCTTTTACGAATTCGTTTTTAGCGATCATTGATAAGCTTGTAGATCCGAAAAACAGCAACCAAATGATCGAAAATGAGAATATAATTATACTTTTCAAGAAATTATTCAATATTATTACAACCTTACCTGAATCAAAAGATCCGATCGATTCAAATCTATTTACATCGGTTTTCATAGAAAAAGAGTACATGTTTTCGTATTTCGGACATACGTCAGAACGAGAACTGTCTACTTTTATTGATTACGTCTTCGAAATCGACAAGAAAAATTCAATTAACATTTTATCGAAGCTTTTGACTCATACTTTCGAATACCTTACTATTCTTTCGAACAGATATGGATGCCAGTGGAAAATCGAGGTTTTCAAGTACAAAACCGAGATATTTAATATGAGTAATCAAATTCAACTGACAAAAGTGATGGCATACGAAATATTCAAGCATACAGATGAAGAACAAACAATATCCCTTATTAAGGATCTCTTTAATATCGAAGATGAATCGAATTTGGCGATTTCTTTTTTACTTTTTCTTTATTTTGAACAAAAAATCGATTACAATACAACTTTAAGATTAACAAAGCAATTACCGAAGTCAACGTCAGCACAGAATATATTTAGAGCTTATGTTTCCGTTGTAAGTATCGTTTCTTACGGAATATTTAATAATATTCCAAAATTAGCAACAATTTCGGGTGCTATCAATGAATCTTTAAAGAACATTAATGATACATTACTAGATACAATACGAGATTCCATCAGATTCTCCTTTATTTCGTATTGTAAAATAGAAACAAAATTTGACAAAGAATTTTTCGAAAAATTCTTGGAAGAGTTCAGAAATTTAGTAGAAAACTCAGTTAAAGGTGTCTACGAGAACTCATTTTACCTCGTTTGGCATTATTTTTATTTATCAGATGAAACTCGAGCAATTACTCAATACAACGACACAACATTGTACAATTGGGTTCTTTATCTCAAGAAAGGCTTGATTTACGAAACAGATCGTATTTTGAAACATGAGTACATGAAATGCGCCATAGAGCTCTTTTATTCATGTACAGTGTACTCATTTAACTTAATGGCTGAGACGGCAACATATATAAGAACATACGATAAGCCTTTTCCTCAAGAATTGTTATTACAATTAACTTTAGTATCGATTGACATGTTTGGTGTATTTATTTCGAACCAGAAATGCGAGAAAATTAACAGATCCGCGATAGATCCAACATTCTACGTAAGTCCGATGCTAAAAATTTTAGAAGAGCTTATTAAGTACTACGAAAACAAAGAAATGGCTACTTTGATAGCTTTCTCGGCTTTTGTGTTGGTTTATACCCGTATACCTATCGGAATTTCCTCGGATTTCCCATCAATTGATCTTTTTAAATGTTCCCCAGAAACGGTTTCTATCGTTCTCGCGATGCTCACCGAAAATATTCCCCATTTTCATCCGAAAGCCATACAGTATATCAACGCGCTAGTGAGGAAAGCGAGAGATTTGTACTTCTCCCTTATGGCCAACTCTCGTCTTGATGTTAAAATGCTTTCTGTTCTTACGAAATTCGCTGCGACCATCACGATTTATGGTCTACCTCAATGCAAGAAGATCTGCACCGATATATTATCAACACCACCTGGCAAGGATAATATAAGGACCATAAAGGAAGACGTTTTGATGGAGATTGGCTATCAATTTGGAGAATTTATTTCAGAAACAGAGAAATCTCCCGGCAACTATGAAATAAAAGTCAGGAGTTTCTCTGAGACAGCTAATTTCCAGCTAAATGTGAACTCAAGCCTCAAATCAATCACGAAAAACATCTTTTTGAATGGAAATAATTTCCAACCAATTCAAAAAGGTGGAATGATCTTATATTTAGCTAATGAACAGTGTTCTCTCAAGATGGCCGCTGAAAATAAAATGGAATCCACTTCAAAATCCTTCGCAATGTTCGCAAAAAGTTTGGGAAAATTTAGAAAAAGTGACAATTCCATTACATGGCGATTTTTCATGAACAGTTTTTCGATGAACTTCCTTCCAACTATGGATGATAATGATAGGAAGCTATTAAGCATGAAAGAAGAGTTCGCAGTTGTTTGGGATGCAAGAAACAACGAAAACTTATTGATTAGCGATCTTCCTCATCTTAAAGCTTTCATTATATTGAAGCCTGTACTTGCAAACTATATTCTAGTAAAAGTACAGTGCGATTCCAAGTTTAAAATTGTTGTTGGTCCTCTCCAAGATAAAACTCTTTTTTCAAAGGAGTATTTGCCTTCTTTCGTTCGATGGACCGTTCAATATTATTATATGAACTATGGAAATTAAATATTTGTTTGTTTATTTCGCTTTTAGTGAAAAAATTAATATTTTTTTTTATCTTATTTAAATTTATATAGCTCATTATTTCCATGATAAATGTTTGTCAACATTTAATCGGAACTTTGCTGTAGAATTGTTAAATTTAGGAAAATCTTGAAATGATTTTTAAAAAACCTTTGTATTTCCAAATTGAAATAATGTGAATTGTGTCTTACATTTTCATTATATTCAATATATTATAGTTATTTCGTTTAAAATAGCTGTGAAAATGTTTTAATCTTTACTGACAAGATTGAGAGACTTTTGAATTTTTATACCTCCCCAGAATTTTGAATGTTAGCGAACAAAAATTGATTAAATTTCTATAGAATTATAAGTATTTTGAAAGAAAACTTAGGATGAAATAACGGTAAAAGTAGCACAATTTATATTTACATATTTAAATCTATAATATTTTTGAAATATAAACTAAATTTAATTAATTTTGTTTTAGGAAAATCAAAATGAATTTGGTGTTAGTATTTTAATATGTAATGCCAAGATATAATAATTTCAATATGTATTATCCTGCAATTCAATAAATACGACTAATTTTTGAAATGATCAGCAATCAAGTCATCTGGTCGGCTAATTGGATTTCATTTGAGATAATTTACCAAAATATCTGAATTATACCCTTGCTTTTCCAAAAACCATAGAAATTTCAAAGAATTGGAAGATCAATCAATCTTTATCAAGAGTTTTGCTCAAAACATTAAAATAATCAAAATGTTTCCTTTAAATTTCTTTGTTGCCTTTTACTCATCTGTTATTGATTTTATTTCATTCTTGATGAATGAATTCAATATGATTCAATCCACTTATGAATTGCATGCGTGCCATATACAAGTAAATTTTAAGTATGATTCTTTGGAATCTATAGTATTCTAACATAAGAGGGGTCTATCACAAAAAAAAAACTTAAATACATTCCTTAAAGTAACTGTATTAAAATGGGTGCTGTAATCAGTTTGATCCTCCTCTCAATTTTCTAACATAACTTATTTAGCTCGTCACTTTTGTCAGATTTGACAGATTTCGAAAATTGACAAGTAAGAGAAATTTTAACTCTTAATTTTTTTGTAGTATGCTTTTTCTGTTTCTTCTATTCAGCTATTCCTGGTGGAATGGTCCACATGAAATGGTTGCCCGTGTATCATGGAATGACCTTACCGACAGGCAACAAAAGATTATATACAAAATTCTTTTAACTTGGCCAGACGAACAAAAGCTTTTTACTAATTGTGGCAGCTGGCTTGACGAAATTGCGGCAAAATATAATCGTGGGACTGATTTAATTTCTCATTTCAAGCCATGGCACTTTGTTGATTTCCCATTAATTGATGGTTGTGAAAATTTCGAAGAAAAAGACACACCATTTGTTTACAACATTACTTCTGCACTCAATCACATTATTTCAAGCTTCTTAGATCCAACAACTAAAAGCTTATGGGCAATTAACTTCGATATTCGTATGTTATTACATTTAGTAGCTGATGTTCACACACCAGTTCATTGTATTGATCGATACACTCCTAGTTCTGGCACTTGCAAAGCAGATCACGGTGCCAATTTTTTCTCTCTTTCCTTGTCTATCAACGGAAAGAATCTTCACTCTCTTTGGGACTCTGCAGTTTATGCTTATCCGACCGGATCATTCTCCGAGGAAATGGTTCAAAAGCTTATTTTTGAATACAAAGATAAAATTCCGGAAGATTCATACGTTCAAAACATGAACGTTACTGCTTGGGCCCTGCATTCATATGAGATTGCTAAGGAATATGTTTACAATGGCCTAAAGCTGAATCAATATGTTGGTGAAAACGATGCTTACGTAACTAGAGCACAGCCACAAGCAAAGGCACAAATTATTTTGGCATCAAAGAGAATGGCATATATTATTGACCAATTTGTCAAAAAGTTGGATGCTCCTGCTCCTACTCCTGTTCCTACTACTCCTGTACAAGAAAACCAAACAAAATCAGAAACAAAGGAACAGAAGAAGACAAAGTATCCAGCTCCTAAGTTATTTATTGACAACTACCAAAATACAGCCTTTAAATTCGCTGCTTTAATTGTTGATGCAGTTTTGACAATTGTTACTGTTCTTTACCTCATGCTTCTCTTCGTATTCCCAGATCAGGGTAAGCCACTCGCAAGCCTTCGTTCAGAACAAGCTTCAGAACTTTTGCAATCTCTTATTTAGTTTTTTTATATATTTTTCCTATTAGGAATGTGCTACTAGTAGATTTAGTTTATTTAAACCTCTTAACATTTTAGATGTCTAAAGTCTTTTTTTAAAAATATTTCTATGAAAATTTGAAATTTATTCATTTTTTAACATAATCTTTCAAACTTATAAGGAAAAATCATAACAACATATTTGTACATTCTCTGATTTTTAGCTAGAAAAAAGTACAATTGACAAATTTACGTAATTTTTCCATCATTTATGATAGAACTTGCGTAGAACATGATTTCATGTTGAATATGTTATCAGTGTATGATTTATTTAGCAAACAATTTTAAAAATTTTGAATTATTTCATCCATTTTCAAAAAATTCAATAAAATCAACGCAAATGCATAGGTCATTAACCCATTTCAATGCTCATATTTCGTCCATATTTTTTAAAATTTTTTGACAGTTTTCAGGCAAAAATGGAAGGTGTAAGTTTGTATCAGGCATTGACTGCTGATACAAAGATTAAGTTCCACTTATCCATCTTCACTATTACAGTTGATAAACCTCTGTCAACTCCGCGTAGATTAAATCGGCGTCAATTAAAAGTTGATGTTGAGAAGGACCAAGCACAATTAGATCCACCAATTCGAAGGCAGAAAGAATACGCGAACTCTGATGGAATGGATGACGCAAATGAACAACTTGCTCCAATAATTAAACAAACAAAGAAACATTTACCTGAATTAAACTTTCCAACATTTGCATTAGTGAATGAAAAGGAATTCTCTACGTATTCTTATAAACAAGATAAAAGACAAAGGCAACCAGTACCAAAACAAATAGTCAAACAAGAAAATCCTAGACAGCAGCAAATGCCATTGCCAACAACTTCTCCTAGTCCATATGGCCAAAGTCAAATGCAAATGCAGTATATTCAACCACAAATGCAAATGCCACAAATATCACAATATTATCAATTACAGATGCTTCAGCAGAATAAGGGAATGGATAAGAATTTGTCCATGCAACAACAATTAAATTTAATGAGATATAATCCAAATAATAATAATAATTACCAAATTCCAATAACGACATCTTTACAGACCTCCGTTGGTAAGACAATGCCAACTCCTCAAACACAGCCGCAAAATCAGCAAAAACAACCCCCACAAATTAAAAATATTTATTTGAACCAAGAAATTTTAAAGTTCAGATATGGTGTCATTAAAGATCCTTCTGAAACTCCGAATATACCATTAGTACTAGATAAATCCGATAAAATGATTAAGTTTACCGAATCATTATCAGAATCTCAAGATAATTCATCGAAGAACCAAGCAATGCTAGACTGGAATACCCTCAAATTCCATTGCGATGAATACTACATGTCACTTACTGAAAATTTTTTATCCTCCAGGCCAAATCTCGACATCCAACATTCAGATGTAGCGACCAACTTATACCTTATAGAGCCAAACCCTCATGATATTGAAACCCAACACCATCCGCGCTTGAATACCCTTCAAATTCTCGGTTTACCGCTGAAAATTACTTATGATCCTAAAACTCATCCGAGTTACAGCAACGAATTCGACACAGTACAGATTTCTCCGTATCTTAGAGACTTCGAAAGCCTTTCTGGTCGAAATGGAAGAAAATTAATTTTACTTGAACACACTTCCGAGAACCCTGCATTTATTTTGAACGTCGGAATGGCATCTAGACTCATTACTTACTATCATCAGGCCACAGCTGAAGATATTCCGAGAAGTTTGATTGAATCAGATACACATCTCATCAAACCGAACCAAGCATCACCTTTCTTAGCCTCTATTCCTAAGAGTACACCAATTCACACTATTTCCTGCAACATGTTCGATGTTCCTGTTGCTAAACATGATGTTGAACCAACAGATTTCCTTTTGATAAGGGATATGGAGGACAATCGCAAGTTCTATATAAGACACATCGATGCTACATACTGCGCCTCTCTTTTGGAAGCAAGAGTAAAAGTTATGAGGCCAAATAAAAAAGTGACTCAAACTTTTATAACCAATTTCATCACCGCGATATTAGTAAACATATTCAGAGGTAATAAGCAGTACAAAGGCCGTAGCAGAATCCAAGTTTCCAGTGTTCTCAAAGAATTTTTCCCAGATATGAACGAATTAAAGCTTCGTGAAGTCCTAAAGAAGTTTGCAAAGAACTATAGAGAGCAAGGTAGTGGTTATTGGGAACCTGTCGAGAAAGATCTCGATGCATTTTTCGGAACAATCCAAATTACACCGGAAGATGTCTGTTCTTATCAGTCCATGCAAGCAGGTTTCAAGAAACTCAGACGCAGTGGTGTGAATATGCTCATCCGATCCAAAAGAGTTTACCAGCAAATCCAAAATCTCAAAGGTGAACTGACCAAAAAAGTGGCTGAAAAAATTGAGCTCGAACTTATGAAGACACCATGGGCGAGAACTGAGAACTTCACAAAGGCGTTCGATGGCCAGTTGATGGAGATGTCACGTGCAGATACAGGTGAACAAATTGTCAGAACGAAAGGAAGAAGAGGAAAATCAGAAGCAGGTGAACAAAAAGAACCTAAGAAACAAAGATATGGCACAGATGCGGATCTTCGTGTTCTGCACATCCCACAGCTTAACGAGAAACTTCGTTCATACGGCATCCCAGAAGAACAGATTGCACGTCTTCTTCGCTGGGATAAAGTTAAATTACTTCGCGAAATCACATCTAACCAGATGAAGGAAGGCATCCAGACTGAGGACACACTTAAGTACGCACGTGGTCCATGCAACCAGTACCAAGAGAAGAAAGAGCAGTACAAGAAAGTCTACGAAGAATCATTCAAGACTAACTTGCAGTACATCAGCTCATCCAAGAAAGATGACAGCGAGTACCAAGACATGGAACATCTTGACCAAGTTTCACTTGAATGGGCACGTGCAGACTTTTCCGATGAAGAAGACGACAACGACGACGCATCAGTCGACCTCACATCTATTGACGAGAAACCACAGCAGATCACAGACACAGGTGATCCTAAAGAGCTTGTTCGTTACGGTATCTGCACATACCACTTCAACGTCGACTGGAACGAACTTGGCTTCGGCGGCTACGCGATGCGTAAGGCAGCTAAGATCATCAACATTTCGTACAAGAACAAACAACTTGATGTTAATGTTCGATGGGAGCGTCAGCCACACCAGATCAAGAACATGGAAGAACTCGAGAACGATGTCAACTACCAGGAATCTAACAAGTTCGGCAGCAACAACGACTTCGTCACATCAGTTCTGCAAGCTATGAAACGAACACTTCAAGACAAGATCAGGCGAACACGTCAGCAGGAGCGTAAAGACAAGACACAACAAGTTCAGCGCTTTATCATCACCGAACACCAGGAGATGCTTGTCCAAGATCCCGATAAGAACTTGACATTTATATTGACACCAGAAGTCATCATGCGCATCGAAAACTCATCACGTGCATTCAAGAACTACTGTGACCACAATTAACTACTATTTATTTAAATTTGTTAAAAATATTAATATCATTTAATTTAACTTTCTTTTTCTTAAATTAAAATCACTTAATGAATGAAGAAAATGGGATTGATTGAATATCAATATATAGAAGAAACTTTTTTTTAATAGTTATTGCTTTCGGAATATGAGAACCACAAAACAAAAAGTGACTTTTAATGAATTCGTGTTAACAAAGCAATTTTTGTTTATGTGTCGAAAATTTATTTCGAAAATGGTGATATTACAAATTGTTCTAATTATTAAAAACTGAATCGAATTATGATTGATGTTTTCAATTCCAATCATATCATGTTTGGCCCATATTTCGCCCAAAAAAAATGACGCCCCGCTTTATGAGGGGAAAAAAAATTGCTCAATTGTTATGTTTGATTTTTATTCTCTTTGATTAGGTGCCCAAACTATGATTTCTCATAATTTTTTAATTGTTGAAATGTAACTTGTTGTAAAATTATCAACCATTTATTATTGAAAATGAAATCAAATTTTGAGAATGTGCATTGAAAAATTTTTTATCTTATAATGTTTTGGCCAATATAGATCAGCATTAAAAATGGTGAATTTAATATTCAAAATACCGATAATCTTTCAAATATTCAGAATTTAAAAAATTTAAAATTCTCATCCGAAATCAATAAATGTTGATGCAAAATAGATTTCAAAAAGGTGATTTAGTATAGAACATGGTGATTATTGTTGTAAATGATGCTGACCATGGTATTTATACAATCACAGGAGACGTTTCAGAAAGTCAATTTGCAAACAGAGCAGATCTTCGAAGCATTGATATCAAAGAGTGCAGTACGATCGGCGATTACGGATTTTTCAACTGTACAAACATCAAAGATGTCAAACTTCCGAATACACTCACGAAGATCGGAACCAGAGCTTTCTCAGATTGTTCCCTACTCAATAAGATAACCATACCAGATGGTGTGAGTACGATTGAAGACAAATTATTCTACTTCTGTACTTCTCTCGAAGAAGTCACTCTCCCACAAACACTCGTTACGATTGGAAACGAATCATTCAGATTTTGTACTTCTCTGAAAAATCTTCGTCTACCATCATCTCTTTCTACTATTGGAAAGAGTGCATTCTCAGGATGCACAAATCTGACACTAGTCAATCAAAATCTTCCGAATAACTTACGAAATCTTGGTAACGGTGTTTTCTCAACATGTTCGAAATTAACAAATATAACAATTCCAGATTCAATCACAGTTCTCGGTTCTTATCTTTTCAATCAATGTAATTCTCTTCAATCAGTGGCATTTGGACCAAGTATCACTCACATTGGTGACTATTGTTTCTTCAACTGCTACAACCTTGTTTCTATTTCAGATTTACCAATCATTGAAAGTATTGGAGACAGAGCATTCGACACGTGTTCAAATCTCCGTTTAATATCTCTCTCAAACGAAATCAAATCCATTGGAATTTCTGCATTCAAACAATGCGAGAAAATCAATACAACTGATTATACATTTAATCTTTCCCAACTTACAGAAATCAAAGCTGGTACGTTTTCATGGGCTCTTTATAATAGATATCATGATTATCGAAAACCTATATCATAAAAGTAATTCTTTCTGATAAATGCAAAAAGATTGGGAATTATGCATTTTATATGGATGAAGTATATATTAGTCTTCAATATGTAGAATATATTGGAGATTATGCATTTTACAAATGTAATATTCTTGAATTCTCTGATTCGATTAAGTATATTGGAAATAGTGCTTTTTATGGTTGTGGTTTTCGTTTTTTCAATTTGCCAAAATATTTGACAAACATTTCGTCTTTTGCTTATGGAGGATGTTATGAGTCCTTCAATTTAAATATTCCAAATTGTGTGACTCATATATATGGAAACGCTTTCCAAGAATGGTATTTTGACCAAGTTACAATTCCAAGTTCAGTTGAATATATTGACAAATGTGCATTTCAACATACATTGATAAACTCTTTTCATTTCGAAAACGGATGTAAAAAGTTAGGAAAATATTGTTTTGCTAATTCTGGTATAACATCAATGGTCCTTCCTGATACATTATTAATTATCAACGAATCTGTTTTTTATGATTCAAAATTAGGGAGTATTACATTTCCGAAAAATCTTCAAAAAATTTGTAAATATGCATTTATGTTTGAACACTTTGATAAATACTATAATATTGAGGGTGATAACGTCCTGTCATTTATTTTTCATGATAGCTTGAGAATAATTGAAGAAAAGGCATTTTATTGGAACATCCATATTAAAAGAATAACATTTTTCAGTAGCAATTTAACAATTGGAGATTATGCATTTTATAGAATTGGAGGGGGTTATTATAATGTATTTAATGATGAGAAAGCTTATTTAGATTCGAAGTTTGATTATCAGGGATATGCAATAAATGTTACTTTTTGTCATACATATTCAGAAGGAGAAAAAGTAAAAATTGGTAAAAATGCATTTCAATATGCATGGATTAATATAAAATTCCCTCCAAATATGGATACAATAAGTGATTATTGTTTCACGTCTGCCTACATTTTCGATCTTGAAATTCCAAACACAATAACAAAAATCGGAAATTATGCATTTTCAAGAGCTGTTTTTAAACCATTCTCAACACAAAACTTAAACAGGAATTTAGAATTTGGAACAAGTACATTTGCATACACAAGTATTGAAAATTTCACACTTCCATCAGGAATATCGTTTGTTAATCCTGGTTTGTTCTCATGTTGTCAATATCTGAAATCAATCCAAATTCCACATGTTGATTACATTGGTAAATATGCATTTTTCAACTGTAGCAGCTTAGAACATGTTTACATAAATTATGGTTGCAAAGAGATTGGAGAATTTGCATTCTCACAGAGTGGAATCAATTCTATTACATTCCCTGATTCAATAACAAAAATCGGAAGCAATGCATTTTCACATTGTATCAATCTCAAGATATTCTCAGTCCCAAAGAATTTGATATCTGTTCAATATCAGACATTCGTAAACTGCACTAATATTACATCGATTGATCTCCATCATGTATCATCGATAAGTTCACTTGCATTCTATCATTGTATTAATTTGATCAAAATCATCATTCCTCGAAATTGTAAAATTGTTGATAGTTATGCATTCAGTGACTGTTTGAGTCTTTGTACTGTCATAATTTGTCAAAAAGTCACAACAAATCCCTTCTCATTCTCAAACTGTACAAATCTTAGTTTGATTATCTTCAAAGAAACATCAACAATCAAAAACGACACATTCACTAACTGCACAAGCATTCAACACATTGTGTTAAATCAATCTGTTGGTTTTGATGAATTTCCATTTGATGAATCTCTTCAAAACAAAATTGATCTTTATTATTTAAGTTCAACACTTCGATTCTCTGTGAATATAGGTCTATATATTCATAATGTTACAGCACTTGATACATTTATGAATCCGAAATTCTTTGGTTTTACACCAACGAAAGTTTCGAATACAACAATGAATGAAACAATCTTTAGCTTAGATTGTGCTCCCGAAATTGATTTTTCAGATGATTATGTTTCAAATGAAGATAAAATAACAATAACAGCAGGAATCATTCCTGTGAAACATAAGATCCACATTGATGTTAATAATGGCTTTGTTATCTGCAAGATTTCCTTATTCAATGCATTATCAGCAGTCAATATATTCCTTGATCTAAAAAAAAATAATAATTAATATTTCAATTTTTAAAGATATTTTGAATTCTTATATCTTTTCAACTAAATAGTTTAAGGATGCACTTATAACTCGCAATATTTAGTCTATTTCACCATCAAATAAACTAGATATTTCTTTATTGATTCATGAAATTCAGATGCATTAGTATGAACATTCTCTTCTTTGTTGGGACAAAGTTAAATTACTTTGGGAAATCCATCTAACAATATGAATGATGGTATCTAGGCTGAGGATACATAGATCATATATTCTTTGGTTTAATACCAACGTAAATTTCGAATACTGCAATGAATGAAACAATATTTGGCTTCCATTTCTTGATAAACCACTAATTACATAAGATAACATTATTTTCTACATATAAATGAATAAAAATTCTCTGAATTACTTATAGTAAACATTCTGATGTCAATTTGCTAAATTTATAACTATCTCTACTTAAGGGTGCCGAAAAGTGAAATTTCTCGGACATATGATTATTTTTGATTCAAATGCTGTTCGGCATTAAAAGCAAAAATAATCATATACCCGAGAATTACACTTTTCCGACATTTTTGGGTCGCTTCGCGCCCCTGGCAAAACGTCGGAAAAGTGTAAATTTTTAAAATCTGGAATGGAAAAAGTGCTTTTATCTCAAAATTTGAGAGTTGAAAATAAAATTTATTCCATAAAACTTTTAGTATAACTATTGAAATTTTGTATTTAATGTGTCTCACTTGATTAAAAACAACAATGGAGGGCTAGATTCAAATCTAATTAAATTTTGAATGTAGACATTTCGGTTGGAAATTGTTACCATTAGATTTGTTTTCCAAATGTAATTAGCAGAATTTAGTGAGATGGTAGTGCGATCGGTCTTAGTTTTGAGTTTACCCACTAATTGCATCTCGACACTTTGTAGCAAGTGTCAAGTGTTTTCTGTAAAATATCTAGTATCTTGTACCTAGATATTATTCCTGGTGTATAATCCCTACCATGGAAAAACCAGGGACTAGATAGGTCCGCAAGTTTGAAAATTGCGAAGCAGTTTTATGTATACAGGAAGTATTTAAGACTTTAATATCATAGAAATAAAAACATTGGTATATGCCCTACTAATATATATTTCAATATCATTAATATCTTTAATACAAATGAGGTTATGGACAATACTCGAAATTGCATCACCTCACATTGGGACACCCTTTCATATAAAAAGCTTAGATATAATTATTTAACAGGATATGATCTTGTATGACTTAAAGTATATACTAAAATCTAAATTTTATTCTTTATGAATATTCTTCTAAAAATCTCTAGGTTAGTATTTGTTAGATAAAAAATACAAACAAAATATTTATTTACATTACAATTACAGGTTTTCTTTTGGAAGGAGAGTTCATTGTAGAAATTGTTTTACCAGCTGTTCCAAGTCTTGATTGTGGTTTACTTGTGATGCTTGTTGTCTGATTTTTTCTTGATTTAAGAGATAAAGTTGGACCAGATTTTGCTGGTGCAGTTTGGACAGAATCTGGATTGAAAGATCGATCTATTCTCATCAAGAAATCTTGTTGGACACCATATATTGATCCTTGTCTGACGCATCTGATCCATCCAATTGCTTCTTTTGGATGGAAGCCGAATCTTCTTATAAGCCATGCAGCGCCAAACATGGGGCCTCTTCCAAGTCCATTTAATGAGCAAATGGCAACTGGATGACCTTGGTCGCATAAATCACAAAATTTAATTACGTCAGAAATGGATGGAAGTGAGTCCTGTGGAGTATCCAATGTAAGATGTTCTATTCCAATGCGTGTTAAATCCTCAGCACCTCGTAATTCTGTAGTAAATGAAACAACTGTGTAAATGTGCCATTTTCTGAACAGAGGGAGCATATCAAATAAAAGAGGAGAGTCTGCGACGCCTGGTGCAGATAAAACCAGCAAACGATTTGGAACAATCCAGGTCATAAAGCCATTTTCTGGTTGTAAATAGAAGTTATAGACTTCAGAATCAAAACTTGTTTGGGAGTACCATCCAAGTTTTGCACCCTTGATGAAGCCATTAAGTGCATCTGACAAAGAAATGGTAAATGGAGAAGCTGTAGCATCTTCAAACTCTTCTATTGGTGGATATACATCTTTAAATATAGAAATAGGATCGTCATAGTCTGGCATTTTTCTTGGTTTTGGTTTTCCCCATTTTGCGACGTATTGTTGATTGTTTTGCTGGCCTAAAAAGCTATTTATGAAATCACGTTCGAGAAGTATCATAGCACATATAAGAAACATGCAATTAACACGTGATTCGGCTGCTAATGAGACACATATGTGAATTTGTTTGTTAATTTTAGTTAATTTATCTTTAATAACTTTAATAAATTCTGTAATTTGATGAAGTGATGGAGGACCGTTTTCTCTAGACATTGCTTCGAATACTAAGGCTGGAATTTCATCATAGTTGAAATAATGATCACAAATATTATCTTTTGGCTTTTCCTGAAGACAATGCATATACAATTTGCCAGGAATAATCGTAATTCCTAGCTCAGATCGTATCAAAGTCATCAGTAAAAAAAATACGTTTTTTTGGAAGAAAACTTATAAGTATAATGAGATGGCTATAATTCTTACAGAATTCTTATAAATTGCAAGTCAAAGTATTTTAGAAGGAAAAAAGAACATGAAAATGATTTGGAAAAATAAAAAAAATTGTTCATGATATTCATGGCATTAGAATAGAGGTATACTATTACAAACTAAATTTCTGATGATTCATGTGTTTATTATAAAATAATGATACAAATTAAGTTTTCTCATTAATAAAAGAGTCATTTTTTAAAAAATTAACTTTATTTTATTAATTTACTCAAAAATAGAGAAAAGGATGATGCATCAATAAAAAAACATTGAGATCCCTCGACTCAAAAAAAAATCAATAATAAGATATTGAATACTCAGTAATAGTTTAATTTTTGGAACAATGTCAATTTTCATGAAGAGGTTTTTCAATCAATATTGTTTGAATTGTAAATGATATTTTAATAACTATTTTCATTTTGAAATATGGAGTTTTTAGACAATTTATTTTCAAATATTAGAAATTTCAAAATGAGGTACGTTAATTTTCATACGACTCCCCAGAAAGTTGATTATTTGAAATGACTAATAGAGATAATTATTTTTCTTGAATTCAAACAATTTTCAATTCAAAGATATAAACTTTTTCAAATATATACCTACGAAAGGGAAGAAGCGTTAAATGGTTTCGATGATTATATCAACTTTTTTTTCCACTTGAAAAACCTGAAAAAAAATTGACTAATTTATTTTCTAGATTTCAAGATGTTTGATATCCAAGGATATATTGATATGGCAAGGGATTACATTCAGCAAGCCAAGGGCTATAATCTCACTGAATATATTGACAAGATGAATGATTTAAATGCCCAAGCCTCTGATTTGATGTTATCAGGTGGTGATAAAGTTTATAAATTTATATATGATAATTTTCCAGTTAAAATGTAAACTGCCCAAGACATCGCAGGCAAAGCTGGACAGTTCATTATTAAAAATCCAGCAGGATTTATGGCAATAATTTTGCTCATAATCCCGTTACTTTGTCTTTTATTAATTCCATTGTGCATGTTTTGCAATATCCATAAATTCAGAAAGCTTCAAAAGGCTCAAGAAAATCCAGAATACTCCGAATCAGCTTCAGATACCGCCAAAGATAGCAAAGATGCTTCATTTTAAATTATTGTACTACATGGATTTGTTTTAATCTTAAAATTTTCCATTTATTTTTTTTTTTTTTGACTTTCGAATTTTTTCTCTTGATAATATTACCAAAACAATATTCAGCCCAAACTGCAAGATTTTATTGAAGAATAATGTTCAAATGTGAAACACATTCAAAATTTGATTTAGTTGAAGACAAAAAAATGAAATTTTCGATTAATTGAATTGTTTAAGTTATGGCAGTCCCAACGGGAACCGCGGTAATTTACCGAGGTTTCCGCACACTGGTTCCTTTTTTTAGGAATTTTTTAGATTAAAAAATATGCTTTGTAAATCATTTTTTGTAAATCGGCAAAAATTTGGAAATATTCTGACGACAATAAATCTGGGAATAGTATTTTAAATACGAGAACAACCTATTTAAAAGTGTTTCGCTCGATTTTGTATAATTTCAAATTTTCGCATATAGCTTTCCGTGAATTACCGTGATTTTACCGCCACATCAATAGTTTACGACACTTTTCCCGTAAATTGAGTAGTTTACTGCACTTTTCCCGTAAAATTGAATTATGGGAATCCGTAAGATTACCATACCTCACTTCTAGTTGAAAATAGCATTAGTATATAATAAATAGATATATTATTCATATTTTTGATTTTGAATTACGGAAAAAGTGAGTTCAGAACTTCCAATTATTATTTGATTAATTATGTTACAAATACTATAAAGAATTAAAATACATAATGTTGAAATTTGAATTACGGAAAAAGTGAGAGTGAAAGTGAAGTGAAAAAGTAAGATATTTTTTGTTGAAATAATCATAGTTGTACAATTTTGAAGCTATATGTAAAGCTATAAATTGAATAAATTCAAAAACAAAAATTGTTTATTCTTATTAATAAATTTATATTAATCAATATTTGAACAACCCGTAATTAAAATTGAATTCCTCTTAAAATTTAATCCATATGTTAATTTTTAATTTGCTCGGCGAATGCCGAGCTTCCCTACTTCTCTAGTTAGTATACAAGTCTTGGGTATGGTGGCACTGCGTTCCACCTTACCCAATACTTGTGAATTTGACACTTTACAAAACCGTTAACGTATATTTTACAACATGAACGCAAAAACTAACTTAACCTTAAATATTTACAAAGCCGCCAACAATTTCACCTCACTATCGTTCTCACTAACAACTTCACTAATGTTCTCATAAATTTTCCTCAATATCTTCATCATCAGTGTTAACCCTATTGTAGTCATACTTGAAGCCATAAACTTTCTCTAACTTCTTAACGTACAATTTACATAACTTACCTTCGTCATCGTATGGTTTAATGATATAACTATTTCTATCTTTATAAACAGTCAATGAAAAGTCAACTGGTCTCGGATGTATTTGAAAGAACATGTTATGCTCAGGAAGGAAGAATAAATGTTTAAATGTATGTTTGTTATATGTTTTGATTTGTATGAGTTGCTTTTGTTCTGTCATTACATCCAAATAAAATAAAAATAATTTTAAAAAATAAAATAAAAAATAAATGATATCACCACCCTCACACGTATGAAAACATAGCACAAAAATAAATTTAGGTGAAGTGGTGAGATCTAACCCGATTTCTAACCCGATTTCTAACCTCATTTCTACCCTGTTGAATTCATTGCTTTCTCCAACTCTCTTCCTTGGTTTCTTTTTAGTTGCTTTCTTCACGTCTGTCTCCAACTTGACTGTCTTTCTTCTTCGTCCATAATGATACCAATTACTTCCACCAGTCAATGGGTCAAATGGTCGTTCATAAGGGTTTCCATACATTCCATAAGGTCCGTATGGATAAACCGCTGGTGGAGAAGAAACATTTTCTTTAGTTCCATCGACTCTATTTAAATGCATTGTTTCACCTTTCATCTGGTCATTAAAGTCTTTTGCGTGTTTTGCAAACTCATCGTCCTTTCCTAAAGCATTTTCTGACTCAGTCGCAACCAAATTGGATGCTTTATTTATGAGCCCTATTTTATTTAATCTTAACTTCTTTGCAACCCAGCCTCCAATCTTTCCTTTATTTGCATCTAATGTCTTTGAAACCCTTCCTCCACTCATTTTATTTACTGCGTCATAAGCTCCAAGTGCTTTTGCTCCAAATGCTAATGCTTTTGTTCCCATTGCGCCTAAAGCTGCCCAAGCTACCATTTACCCATATTAAAATCATCTCTCTTCAATATTATCTCATAAAAGTTCTCGTTACTGGAGAAAGTCAATGAAACATAAACATTCTCACGGGCTTCACCCTCACCGCTTTGCGGTCTATCTAACTTCTTTCTTATCTCATCTATTCGCTTCAAAATGTCTGAACAATTGCTAACATCTTCTACAACAGTTATTTCATCATGAACGACCTTTAAGAACAAGCTCATTTAATATGCAATTAAAATCATCTCAATAATGAGTCCATCCTTTCCATCTTTAGGTAGCACAACATCTTTCATTGAAGAAGGTTCGACAAGTCTTATGTTAAACTTACTGACAAAGTTTGTTATACTATAATGCTTCGGTGGCGAATACATGTAGTTTGAAAGACATAATATAGATTCTTCAGCAAATTCACTTATACTGGATTTTATAACAATGTTCTCACGAGACCAAACGCCACCAATTGACAATCTTGTAAGCAATCCTGCTGAGCCTTCAACTGTAAACGTCGATGGTAACATTCCACGAAGGTCATCTATTGACATCTTTGAGTCACTGAATTTAAATATTTTCTTAAAGCAATCGTCATTATCTAACCATGCAATAGCTTTGAAGTTTTCATTCGAATATACATCTGCTTCATTAAATGTAAAACCTGACTTCTTTGCAGAGGCGATTTTAAAATCTATTGCATTTGTTTCAAAATTATATGCTATGGTAACTTCTGAAGGTAATGGGTGTCCTTCTGCTATAAGTTGTTCTTTCAATACCATTTGAAGCTTTGTGTTAAAAACTTTCATGTCATCTCCTGTATCTAAGTTCACATACACAGCAACAGGGAAACTATCTTGCTTCTTTGTTTCATCATTATATCTCAAAACATTAAAGTTCTTCAATAATATTGTCCTTCCTGCTGGAATACTTCTAACTTGTCTTATTTCAATAGCTTTCTCACCTCCTACATACTCTACCCAGTGTCTTGGATATTCATAAGTATACTGACTTTCTTGAATTTTGGTTGGTTTCATCATAACGTGTTCATAGTATATCTTTATACTCTTGTCAGTTAGACTCGGTGCTATGTTCTGAATATTTCTGACTTGCATTTTTAATGGAGATAAAATGAAGCATTTAATACATGACGTAGATGAAGACATGAATGAAACTACAGACAAACTTAACTCTTCTCTTATTCTTCCTTTCAGCAAAGATTATGAATTCTGTTCAAATGGTGTGTATTTCTATTGTGGAAAGATGGGTTCAGGTAAGACATTTAACCTCATTCGTCATATACTCATAACAGAGCGTTTAGGAAACGACTCTTACTATGACCAAATCATTATATCAGCAATTCAGACTCTATGGATTCAACAGCGAAAACATTCATGAGTAAAGTTCAAGCATCTGTCGTTAAAGTTCCAGATAGCGAACTCATTGAATTTCTTCAACGTTACATTCGACGTAAGAGAAAATATTATGCTATTGTAGAGTTCATACAGTCAGGAATGCAAAAGACTTCAGAAGAGATGGAAAGAATTATTGACAAACACCACTTACGTCAGTACTCAGGAGTTTACGATATGAAACGACTGACAAACTACATTCTATCAAAACTTTCAAAATACCCCTTCAAAAAGTATCCTTCAAACACTCTGCTCGTTTGTGACGACTTCGCCGGAAAAGGTTTAGTGTCAAAGCCTGACTCACCATTAGCTAACATCATAACTAAAGTCAGACATTACCATTTAACTGTAGCAATACTTATGCAAACATGGCGTTTCCTTGCTTTAAACATAAAACGTCTCATAACTGACTTCGTTATCTTTCAAGGTTTCTCACGCTATGATATTGAACTCATTTGGAAACAGTCAGGTATAACATTACCTTTTGAAGAAATTTGGGAAGCATATAAGTCTCTCATCTCTCCTCGTTCATACCTTGAGATTCATATCATGACTAATACCATTAAAGTCAAAAATATTCCATGGGAACGACCAACATTGTTTTAAAGTTTAACCTTCAATTGACTGATGGTAAACAAATTCCATGCATCTCTGTCGCCATTTCTGTTAATATTTTTGCTGTCATTCATATCATCCACTTCCCCATCCGTTAGCTTTTGAGGATATGCGTTAGAATAGCTGTTCTTAAATGAAGGCTTTTCACCTTTGAGAGCATAAACTCTATAACTTTCTGCATACTTTATGTTTGAACCTCCTGAGCCATCATTGACATAAATTTTTATAGGCTTCCACCCTTTGTTCATGTTCCTGCTTCTTCCCTTAGCCTTTTGTTCAGTAGTTCTACATCTTTATACACAGCTCCTGTCTCAGTGAATTCAACAATATTTTCATTCGTTAGCTTTACATTCAAACCCTTGTCGAGTATATTGTTCATTTCATACATATAAAAGGTTTTTATTCTATATGAAATGAGAAGCAAATCCATCTTAGCTGGTGCCGTTAATGTTCCAATTGAACCAACATCAAATGTTGACTCACGAACGACAAACAATATTGTCATAAAGAACTATAGTTCGGAGTGTTTGAAAGAAAAAGAACCAGATCTTAAGTCGGTGAATTTAAACACAACTTCAAACGCTAACGCTACATCAGATGTTAAGTTAGAGTATCCACCACTGGACCAAGTTCTTTCAAGAGAAGCCAACGACAACCCTTACACAAATGTTCAAACAAATCCTTCAGATAACGTAGACCATTACCTTCTTCAGTTATACCAAACAATTTTACTCAAAGACGATAAGAAGCTTTTGACAAATCTTATAAGTAAGAACCAAATAATTCTAACAAAGGAGGACCTTGAAAATGTTATATCACGAATAACAGGAAAGCAATGTGTCATTGACTATCTCGACCCTGAAATCGAATGCTGTGGTCAAACTCCAATATTCATGAAAATAGGTAACATCCGCATCATTGAAACACCAGGTACTCCAGGAGTTGAGTTTAAGTATAAATATTCGAACGAGTATACAAAACTATCTACTTACTATAAGCTTTGTTTGAAATATGTTTTAGTAAATTAAAGCAATTTGTAATATCTATCCAAAACTTCTTCAACAGTATCGAACTCATCTTCATAATGCAAACCTAATCTTATTGACTTGGTGCAGTTTTCACTAACACAATATTTTTCTGTTCTCTTGACTGACATAACTAACTCATTTGTTTCATCAAACAGCAACAACCAAAGTTCATGACCTAATACATAACATTCATACTTTATATTTTTAGCTCTGAGTTCTCTTGTAAGCTGTTGCATTTAATATTTTCTAAAAAGTCAACTTCAACAGTCATTCGCACTGGTGCCTTCAGTTCTACAGGCTCTCCTTGAAAGTCAACAAGTCTGAATTGCATGTCTTTCAAATTATGAGGACTAATGCGAACCCATTTACCTAAATGAGTTGCTATGACAGGAACGTTTGGAATGAACATTGAATTTACTTCATAACAGAAGGATTTATATTCTACTGAACCTTTACTATTAACTCCTGAAATACCTGTGACATTAGCTATTTTTGACTCAATGTACAAACAATTGCCATAACATACGTATGGAACAGATTTCATCTCAATCGTTTTGTCAACACTTTTCAAAGGAAATGTCATATGGTATGCTCCCAAAAGAAGTTGTACTCTATGACTCATTCTTGGTATCTTAAACTCCTTCGCATAACTGAACTTCAAAACTCCTGCAATAAGTTTAACATTCATTAAGTTTTCTCCGTTATCCTTGTTTATTGTAGTATTTATGAGAGCATTTAACACTCCAGCTAATGTTTCCATCTTATATTCTACATTATTGTGAAATCTTATTTCGTGCTTCTTTCCATCTATTTCAAGCTCCATGAAATCTGTTTCATCTGTTATAACGAATGAAGCGATAGTATTGAAGTCAACCATTCTGAATGCAAGTGGCTCATTCTGTAGACCTAAGTTTGTTTGTAGTTTTACTGTCCCGTATTCGTTTGGGTCTGTACTTTGCAAATAGAACAACATTTTATTCTCATTAAAATATGAGTATAGCTGCATATGCGTATGAAGCTGACAGAGCTAAACGTTTATATTTTGGTCAATACTCTCTCACACTTACTGACAAATATATTGCTATTTCTGATGGAAATACCGAGAAATACATAACATGGAAGGACTATGAAAAGTTTGACCCCATTTTAACTCCATGCACTATGCCATTCATTGTAAATGGTGAAGTTGTCATGAAGAACGACACAACAGTATATAAGTCTGTTCATGAAGCGTTAGAATATATGTTGAATTATAATCCCGAAAGATTTGACCCAAGCACTACGCCATGTACAATGCCTTTTATTAAGGATGGTGAAATCGTAAGAGTTCCGGATTCAACGGTTTACACAGCTGTTCAAAACAGTTTACAAAACATTTTAGCGAATATCTTTAATTCAGAAACTACAGAAATAAAATTACCATATATAACAGATGCTAAAGAAATTAAATCAAAAACGACAACTTATTTACGTCACTTAATGATTTAATGACTTATATCATTAATATTCCTGCACCAACTATAGCATTTGATCCAAACTCGACGGTTTGCAGTGTACCTTTCATAAATGACAGTTCATTAATTACTTTAAGGGATTCGACAGTAAATGAATCATTAAAGGCGTCATTAATGAAAATCATTGATTTTAATTCATTCACGAATACATATAATTCATTCATTAATGTTTCATATGCTTCTAAAGAAGGTGAGCCAAAAACTATCGATAAAGCGGTGTATGAAATAAAAGCATCAACGACGAAATTGAATTCGTTAACTTTTGACGGTGATAGTTTCGTTAATGACATAACATCGGGGAAAACAATTTTAACGAAAGAATATTTAAAATCTCATGTTAGTGAGTTCGTTGAAATTGAAAAAGAAGGTGGAATTAAGTTCGATCCACTGAATTTCATTTTCAGCTTAGCGAATGCGGGTGTTAGTTTCGCTGAATGGACAACTATACAGAGTGAAATAAATGCAATATGGACGTTTTTGGGGTCAAAAGCGGGAATGGGTGAGCTTGTAAATGCTGCAAGAACATTAGGTGAAACAGGAAATTTTGTAGATGGTTTTAAAAGACTTGTTTCAAATGTTTTAACAAACACAAAGAAATTATTTAGATATACCGTACATAACGGACGGATTTTCGAACAGATAGCAACAAACCCTCCGGTTATGGCTGCGTTGATGATGGTTAGAGATATAAAACCACGTAACGACGGGAACGAAGAACATGAACAACAGGATACTGGTCGGGTTATTCGAGACATTAAAAACGTGTATCCTGAAGTTATTGATTTATTTAGAGGAGTTAATGATTCAATTTCAAAACATTCTATAACCCTCGATGAAGAGAATAAATTAACAGATTATATATTCGTCATTATTGCAGAATTAATGAAGAGAATAAATGAAAAAGGAATTGGTGATATCATTAATGTCAGCGATGTAATGATGAAAAGAAATTTTGACTCATTATTTACAAAACCGAAAACAGAATATAGTCTTTATGACGTAATTACCGAATTAATGAAAAAGATTAATGATAATAAGAGTTCTGGCGGAAGAGTTGAATTAGAAGTGAATGATGTTAATGAGAAATTAGCCGAAAAAGCAAACAAAAATGAGCTTTTAGCTCTGAGTGATAAAGTCAAGAACCACGTTCATTATATAACTTCAGACGAACAGATTATAACGGACTACCATGGATATTTAACACGAAGTGATGAAGCGAAGACAAAAAATGTTAATGAAAGAAGATATAAATACATTCGTGCTAAAGGTTATGACATAAGCTGTACTGTACAGTATGATGTAGCTAAAGCACCAGAAGCATTTGGTTATACCGGTGAAATTTATGCCTCTACTTTCAATGTTAACGGTGTATTAGTTGAACCAAGATTTACTTTGAGAGTTAAGGATGGGCACTCATAGGCTCCTGACAGCATAAAAATATTATTATCTCACAATATAAAAGGAATCATAGGAATCTACAACTATATCTATATTGTTAGAAGACTTCTTAATGTATCATGCATATAAGTTATATCAATAACTCCATTATGTTATATGATTGTAATCATATTTTCGTTTCATGTTCAAAAACATTAAAATCATACTAACTATATGAGTATTATATTTAGGAAGCTGATATATAGATATGATAAAATGCTAGGTTTTGTGATTAAGAATATATACTTATCTTTTAGAAAATAATACTTTTATAAAAAATTATATCTTATATAATCTAAAAATTTTGGACAATTAAAAAACATTAATTAAAAATAGAAGGTGAAAGTGTTTATTCAAAGAAGGTGCAAGATTATGATGTTTTGAGGGTGAAATAAATTTAATAATTATTTATGTGATTTAAGAGTAATACGATCATCGCTAGCTTGAAGACCTCTCTTTATAGCTCTTAATGCCGCAAACTTTTTTCGAACTTGCTTTGAATTTTTGAATGCTTTGATTAAATCTTTTGTTGTATCATACATTCTGAAATATCTGTTCATCATTTCTGGCATTGTTGGTAAATTTAACCTGTATCTTATTGCTACAATCGTTTCAAACATACTTTCATTGAAATGCAATATTGTGACTGCCATCCTAATTGGCCAAGAAGCATGCCAATTAATATTTTTATTAGCAAGCATTGCTTTGATATGGTTTATCAATTCAACTACTTGAGTTGAATGAATCTTTTTTACCATATCAAAGATTTTTACGGTATCTTCGAGGAATTTTTTAAGTGTTTTTATAGCAGTTTTATTTTTTGCATATTTCCATGGTTTAATCATCTTGCATTTTTCAGGATCTGGACAAAATTTATGATTTCCGGCATAATGTTTAGCGGAATTCAACCATAAAAACTTCTTTGTTTTAATTGACATATGTGTGTCATTGAGAAGTTGCCTAAGCCAACGCAATAAATTCTTTGAAATGCTAGATAAGATTCTGAATTCTGGCAGTTTGAGCTTTTTCTGTATATTGTTAAGAAAATGTCCAGGATCTCTGTATTCTCTGATACCTTTGAACGTATTTTTGATTGTAGAAACAATTTTGACATCGCCATCATGCACAAAAAAATTTACACGTTTTTCATTATTCCAACGCTTCAGCATTCTTTTTAAGCCTTCAAATTCCATTTCATTTGATTTTCCGTTGAAATTACCTTTGAAATTTTTAAAAGATTTAGATATCACTTCCCAATCTACAATTTTTTTGAGTTTCTCTTCTACAAATTGTACATAGCAAAACATTGCATTTCTTCTCTGACTCCAAGAACCGTCAAACAAAAGTCCCGAACATTTTCTCATTCGAGATTTCCAATAATTAACAGATTCTCTGGCAACTTCTATGATAACACGACCAACCTTTTCTTGGACTCGATGAAATGTAGCTTCTGACGGAACTTTGATGTTATTCAGCATGAATTGAAATTCTGATTGGCAAAATGTAGCGCCGCTCAATAATACAGATAGCACAAATTCAACAGTGTTGACGACATATGGCTCTACCCTATTTTTCGCGCTTTGAACTAAGTTCTTTATACGCTTTGCAACTGCTTTTGTTCGCCGCGGCATGAAAAATGAAGAATAACTTGACGGTTTCTTGAACAAATGGTCGCACATTCAAATATTGTGATGTACGATCAGGATAAAAGAATGTTGTTGCCGTGAATTTAGAAAATAGCAAAATTTCAATTTACGCAATCGAGATATAACTTGATCGTTTGAGCGATAACCATGGCACCCATAGTATTAATGAAAGTACTCATACTTACAATTATTTTCTCCCATAGGAATATTGTTCAATATACTTCACCTATAGAGGAAATCTCGAAATAAAATCGAATTTTTTCAAAAATTACAAAAATCAATTTTTTACAAAGATGTTCGAAAAATAACATTATATACGCATCAAATCAAAGCATTATATGGAGCATTATAATTCTATATATGATTGTCCATCTTGATGTTGTGCTATTTTTTTTTAAACAATAATTTCATTGTTGAAATTAAATTTGCAATTTCAGTAAAAATTGCGACCCATCATTTTGAATATAATTGAATTAATACATTTATTGTAAGAATATTATATACCAAATATTAGACTTCCACATGAATCCTGGTATGATATTATAAGTATTGCAAAATTAGAAAAAAATATGCTCATGATATACTAAAATTCATGTTTCAAGGTTAACTTATAAATAAAATAAGTTCGAGAAATGCATCACTAAATATTTGAGCTTGTGCACTATAATGCTATATAATAGTCTTCACTGTTTTTAATATATTGACTTTGCTAGACTTGATTTTTTTCATCACCCTAATGAGTGCCCATCCTTAAGTCAAAAATAACGTTTGAAGATGCTATTAAAAGTAAAGCTGACAAAGTTGAACTTGAAGCAACGAACAAAGTTTTGAAATCTCATAAACACAACATCTCCGATATAAATGAACTTCAAGCTACATTAGACAGTAAAGCCGACAAGAACCATACACATAAATCCTTCACTACTGTTAGAGCAGACGACATAATATTGAACTATACCCTTGGTTCAAGTGCACCTTTAGAGAATCCAAGTACAAGCGTAAAAGATACACTAAACAATTTAGATAACAGTTGCAGGAATATTGAAGGTCATGCCAGAAACTTTGAAGCACATGAACTACCAGCAATGTTAGATAAGAAAGCCGACAAAACTTATGTAGATGAATATTATGCAAAGAAGTCGGAAGTAAATGCTGCGCTTAATGGAAAAGCCGATAAAGAGCACGTGCATGAAGAATTTCAAACAATCAAGATTAAAGAAATTAAGGCATGCATCGAAATAGTAACAAAAACAGGAAGAGACGGTGCAACTGTACAAGAACAAAGAATTTATCCTCCTACTTTTCCTAATGGTTTAATAACAAACAATATAAATATTGTAGAAGGCAATAAAACTATAAACGTTAAACATGAACTTCTAACAATGAAGGCCCAGATTCTTGAAACCATATATCCTATAGGCTCTATTTATACGTCAATGAACTCAACAAATCCGGCAAGTGTTTTAGGTTTTGGTACGTGGGAACAGATTGTAGATAAATTCCTCTATTGTGCGAACTCTTCAAAGCAAACAGGTGGTTCGAAGAAATTAAAGAAGCAAACCTTCCACCGCACACTCATACAGGAACTACAAACTTTTCTGGTGACCATAGTCACTCATTAAGAGACCATCCATTATACAACTCAGAATATTATGCTGGCAATGATGTTTTATCTCCAGATTATAACCATTCGGCAAAAAAGACTTTTCGACCAACTGAACCAGGAGGAAATCATTCACACACTTTCACAACAAATCCAACAGGTTCGGGTGCAGATTATATGCCTCCATTTATGACTGTATTCGCATGGTACCGCGTTCAATAAACACACTTGAGCCTTGACTCAAAGGATCTAGGCTTACCGCGTTCAATGAAATCTTTAACTTTACATAAATGAGCTTGAAAGAAGTATTCGAACAACATCCATGGAGGTCATTTAAGAAGTTCAATGAAGCAGCAAAAAGTTGGGGATTTACTAACAGAGCTGAAGTTAAAAAGTTCTTTGACAAAAATGTTGTACATCAAACAAAAATAAACCCTTACGACTACTTTTTACCAATTTACTCCAACACTCCAGACGCATACCAATTTGACACTCTCATTCAAAGCAGAAAAGGAGGACATAAACCATTCCTCATCTTCATAAATGTTAACACTCGCAAAGCTTTTGCGTATATAATGAGAAATAAAGGAACTCGTGAAGTGTTAAGAGTTTTACAAAAGTTTGTAGCAGAATATAACCCAAGTACTTTAACATCAGACCAAGACAGTGCATACCTCAGCAACGAAATCACAGAATTTCTCATTAAGCATAACATAACTCAATACACTACTGAAGACCATAACCATAATATTTTAGGTATCATTAATCGCTTCATAAGAACGCTCAGAGATTTAAATCAAGAGCGAGACTTTACCGAAGAAACAATGAAACATTTTCTCGAAGTATATAATTCCTCAACAAATTCTACAACAGGACATACACCAAATTCAATGACACAACAACAAGAAGAAAAGTATATACAAAAGAAACGAAGCCAAACACAAAATATCAGAAATTCAACACAATTTACCCTCATTCCTGGTACAAAAGTTCGTGTAGTTCTTGACGACAAACCGTTGACAAAGAAACGTTTAAGGTTAAGTCGAAATTATTATATCGTAGACTCTACGCAAGGTAATGGATATCTTATAAAAGCTGCTGACGACTCTATTGCGTTTTATCCTCGTCATAAATTAGTCGAAAGTAGTAATGGCAAACTTGCTGAAACCATTGACGAAGCAAAGCGAGGAGTGGTTATTGAAATACTTAACTATAACATAAACGATGACACTTATAAAGTAAGATATGAAGGAGGCGTTGAAGATGTTATACCATCTAAGAACTTGAGAGAGTCAAAGCCAACACATCTGGGACCATTAGAGTATAGATCCGTATTTTTCCCAAGTGAGCGGGGTATCTCCAATCCCAGCCCTATCGTCCTCCCAGTGTCAGTTTTCAATATAAAATCCAATTTTTTTTGAAAATAAAAATTTCGAGAAATTTTTCTGATTTTTTTTCTTTGATTTCAATAATTCAAAATAAATTTGGGAGTAAAAAGACACTATTTAATGAAATTCATATGAGTGAATGTGGATAAATACTCTCAAAACATACAATTTATCTATTTTTTCTTTATATTATCAACTAATTAGTGATAATTTTTTTTGAATCAGATTTTTTTTTCATTAAAAACATAATATATAACACAATGATGCAACATACGTATCTACACATCAAAATATAAAGCTTGTTTTGGTCTGGGCATCCCAACCCAAAATTCTTTAAAAATTGAATAAAATTGAATACTTGGGGCTGGGATACCCATCCCAAAACCGAATTGAATTTTTTGAATTAAAGAATATATTTATGTATTTATAATATACATGTGATGTCTATAAAAATACTAAATTCTAAAAAAAATTCAATTTATTCAAAACGTATACTAAGTGATCACTTCATTAGTAGGATCAGCAATCCTACTAAATGGTGAGAACGCCACTAACTAAAAAGGGAGTCCTTGGAGCTCTTGATCTCTTGTCAGTAGAGTTCATAATGAGGCATGGCATCTACTGATTAGAGATCAGAGCAATCCTACCTTATCTTCAGGAGCTACAAAGCTCCTAATCGTTACGAGAGGGAGCCTTGGAGCTCCTGAAGCTCATCAGCAGAGGCTATTTACCATTTGGGCCTCTTCTGATGAAAGATGCGAAACACGTCTACGAACCAGGAGCTTCAAAGCTTCTAATCCTTACTAAAGGAGCTTTGGAGCTCCTGAGTCTCCATCAACAGAGTCCCAGATGGTAAATGTCCTTTGCTGATGAAAGATGCGAAAACATCTACGAACCAGGAGCTCCAAAGCTCCTAATCCTTACGAAAGGGAGCTTTGGAGCTCCTGAAACTCCTTTTACTATAAAATAGGACAGTTTTCTTCTGAGGTTCTCATCAAATCTAAGACTTCAGAAGAAAGCTGTCCTATCAATGTATACTTACACTCTCATGGACTACAAGTGTACAATTTTAAGGCAGAGATTATCCGAGGCCTCTCATCAAATGAGGGACCTCGGATAATCTCTACCTTAAGTAGTCAAATAACTTTTCTCACTATTTAGGAACAAAAGAACAAGAGTTGGAGTACTTTAAGGCAAGATTCTTCCGAAATCTCTCATCGAATGAGAGACTTCGGAAGGACCTTGCCAAATCCTTGAACGCCAATATCCTTGGAACTGAGCTAGAACCAGGGAGAAGTAGCATACTATAGAGCACGATGGTAATCTCGGAAATGCTTATATCGCCCCAAGCACAATATTTAAGAAGTCTAACTCATATATACAAGAAGTCAGGCTGAATAGATATTGTGCATATGGTTTGCAGAACTCTCATGATATTTAAAATTCATGTTATCCCAAAAAAGGTGACACTTTGGGTGTATCGTCCATCCCAGGGATGCAAAAATCACATCACCTTGGATCTATAATTAGAG